TTCCACCGACTCCAGGCATTCTGCCAGCGTATGGAGCGCTGTGTCTACGGTCCGGCCATCGCAGTGGTGGCACTCAGGCGTTGGCTCCTTGCGGACTATACAGAGGTGATTTCCGAAGCATCCTTTCCCGGTGATCACCTGAGTCAACCGGTATGAGTGGGTTCCGTGATGCCTCTCGAGCCAATCCTCCATAACGAGTCTTACCGCTGCCATAACGGCGTGTCCATGTGTATTTAGGCCTGAAACTAAATTGTCATTTTAGGTCTGGGAAGGCATTAACTAAAAAAAAACTTGAGTTACGTGTCCGTATTTCCAAATCGACACATTTTACGATCCTAATTAATACTTCACTTTCCATTTCAGATGTTGTTTTGGGTTTGTAATCTATTCCTCCGTACTCTGGGTTTTGTAGCAGTATTAATATTATCTATGAATTCATTCATCATTATATTTGGTCTCGTAAGTATTTTGAATTCAATAATGAGCCTATCTTAGATTATTAATATGTCTGAGTAGACTGTCACACTACTAAAGAACTGAAACAATCAGCGTACCGCAGCCTAGACAACTTTAGCCAAAAAATTGTTATGTTGAGTCGCTCCGCGCTATTGGTCATGGGGACGTTAATAAACTGAGATAAAAAAGCATTATAATTACTTGTGAGCTGTTTCTTGCATTTTGGTTGAGTAGGTAGGTCTAGAAGTTTGTAAGGATGATTTTTGATGATGATTTCATTCATTCACAACGAATGTATTTTCTTTCAATAAAACATATAATATTTACAATCACAATCATGTTGGTAATTATTTCAAGGACAGGGTCGAGTCACAATACTGTTTGCCAAGTGCGAGTTTGTTTCACTTCTACTCGATCGTCATGGTGACCGCGTTCGACGCTACGATTGGCCCGCGCTAAAATCTCCACCAATCGCAACGCTAAACGCGCTCGCCATCAAGAGCGAGTCGATGTGAAATGCACTCGAATGAACTTGCGCTCGACCCTCTGATAGATGAGATTATCGAGACACAGCCGACAAACACATTGACAGCGGTAACAAACTTGTGGGGAACAGTTTTAGCGTCATCTCGTTGAGTTATTGTCCCTAAGTTGTATGTATGTATCTAATACCTGATAACTATGCCAGCTGGCTGATACAAGTACTCGGACAGGTAAGTTGGTCCAGTCAGCTGAGCAGCTGCTGCTCCGTAGCGTAATACCCATGGAGAGTACGTCGGCCGGCTCAGCTGATGAGCTTTTGTACAGTCGTAATACCAAGGGAAGAGTAATGAAACACCTCGGTTGCTTCCATGTGGAAGAAGGGTTCATTAAAGATTTCAGCTTCTATTTATACTAAATACATAAAATGGTTACATCCCACCAGTAGTTTCGTCAAAATGTTTCGACCAATCACGAAGTTAATGTTTTCAACGCACCAAAAGTCTTCGGCCAATTGCGTAGTTACTTACGGTTCAAAGTGTCAATTACGTAGCTCATACAAGGTTACAATGCGTCTGCCATGTGGCCGATGACTTCCAATCATGGGTTCCAATCACACAATCATGAGGTTGAAACCACAGGATTTTGTGAGGGCGAACACGTGTGACAGTGTTGGTATATAAAAGAATCTTCATCGGCGTCGTCTATTGTTGTTTCAAAGAAAGGCTTTCAGGGCTTTACTGTTTCTTTTCAAACAATAAGTCTTGCGGTATACTCATCTTAGTACAGTAGTTATGGTAGTTTGCCTGTTTACGTTTAATAGGTCGCGATGGTTGTCACGCCATAAGTTGAATACTTTTTATTTTGACGTTTAGAAAATTTTGACAGTCTATGCAGACATATCAATGATGTAATGAGCCGTTACTAAAATTTATGATGATGAATTTGTTAAAATAATGATACAGGGCAAATATTTGGGATTAGTAAGTGTAAGTATTTTGTGGCTGATGAAGGACATTCTTCTGGCAATAATAAATACATTTTACTGTGAGGAGTTTTACACGGCTGTTGATGACACCGAGACTTCTTGCTTACTACACTTAAAGACGGGAAAATGTACAGGTCAGTTGCAACATTTATTATTAACCAACTTGAAACAAATTAGCAGGTTTTTATTTGTCTTAATTTTTATTGTTTCTTACATCAGAACTCCGTAATTGATGAACCTATTTGAATATTTTTTTTTTTATGTAGTATGGTGTACTTGTTTGTTTCCATTAAACTTGTATTAAACTGTATTTTTTAATTCTTAACTAAAGGTGGATAGTTAAGAATTAAGAAATATATAATTCATCGAGTGGCCATGAGTTTGTTCGTCCTTTCTTCTCATGTATGATGATGTAATAATTACGTATTTCAGATTAGCACATACGTTTTAACCTGTAATAAACGTGGCCCATTGCTACGTCAATGTGACGTATTGATTCTATACGTTGGATTATAACATCACCTCAACTTAAAACAATTTTTGTGACGTTTGTTGCTAAATCCATTCTCAAAACAATAAATTGCAAATAAATCGCATTCTTTCGTGTATTTGCATTCTTTCCTTTCATTTTATTACCTTTTCTTTTCATTTCGTTTCTTTTCTTTTCCTTCATTTTCTTCTTTCTTTATTGTCTTTCATAGCGACGATAAATTCGCACGACGAGCCATGAAATGCAACTTTACAAATTCTTGTAAACCCATATGTATTACTAATAAGCTACACTGAAACGAGCTATGTGTATAATCATAATCTATTTACAGGCAAACACAAGCAGGTGTGCAAGAACATCAGAAAAATGAACAAGATCGAGTTTAGCAAAGTGAGCGCATGTGGTTTTTTCGACGTAGACGCTGTTTTGTCTTTGTCTCTTGCGATGCAACTGAGTAACTACGTTATTGTTTTAATACAATTTGCTGTCTTATAATAGATATTTCATAATCTGTTCTTTGAATTTTCGTTTTTTAAACGATGTATTCGTTCGTAGTTATTCGTATTGTGGTAAGTGTACAGCTAAACATTCTCTGCAAATTGTCCACATATCTAATTAATGATTAGTGTTAGAAGTATTGTTTATGTTTTTATTGTAATCATGTAAAGTCTGTTAAAGTGACGATATTTTTATAAATAAATATCTATTGAAATCTACATTGATTTTAATTTCAATAAACACTGTTGTTATTTTATTGGGAAACTTATTTTTAATTATTTTTGAGCAATGAAAATACTCATAAAATAATAATGAACCAAGTATTAATTATTTCCGTGTGGTGACGGATTAAGAATACAGAGTGTCACCACCCCTATTGATTCCGTGCGTGTAACAGCACTGCAGAGAGAAGGAAAACTTGACACAAACCCTATACTAACCCGTCTGGCCAGCGTGGCCAAAACCTGAGGCTTATGTTCAGCAGTAGACTGTTAAAGGCTGTTGATGAAGTATTAATAGAAAATAATAGAAATAATGGAGCAGATGAATTATAGTTTTTTTTTCAATCAATCAATCAATCAGTTTTTATTTTGAAACATAGGTATACAAAGGTTGTTTACAGTGGTAGAATGATCTACTATGTACTGCCATTAAAATTTAGGCTTACAATAATTAAAAAATATATTTTGTGAATCGCTAAACTCAAGACATGCAAATATAATTACATTGAATTATCGCAATTAAAGCAATATAATATTTCAGTTTGATTTTTCATACCTTAGAGCTTAAAACATGCATAATCAATAAGTCTCTATTTTATAAATTATGTATAAAATTTTAGAACTAAGATGTCAATAAAGTAATTACAATGTCAAATAAAAAATAAAGATAATAAATAAAAATAGAATTTTCTAATCAAAATATTAAAATTATGGAATAAGTATGTATTTGTATATTCATTTCTGTTGAGATATGTATTATGTAGGTAGATGTATCTACAGGTTTGCATTTTGTTATGATTATTTCTCACAAACAGTTGCAATACAGACCTTGTGAACTACACCCGCATTTTATTTATACGCTAACTAAAAGGCATATTAAACAGACAAGAATCAACCTTATTCTCAATACAACATGGTCCATTCCGAGCCGCATACAATTTAAAAGAACTAGTTGATCGAAGATAAGCTATCGTCGCCGAGAAGTTTTTTCTATATGAAGTTAGTTGGCGAATACAATAGACGACCGGCCGCTGTTATACAAATTGCAGTTAAATGGTGTATTGTGCATTCCTGTGATTACAATAACGAAGTGAACGTTTTAAACACATAATATTAACTTTCATTATGGAGTCCGTTGAACAACAATTGGAACTTTTAGAACATTTGTCGAATAGTATCGTAAAAACCAAAACAAACTTTAAAAAGTCACCTAAGTCAAGAATTACAATAGGTTATACAGAAGCGAGACTACAATGCTTAGAAGACTATTGGAATTCGTATCGAAATATTTATCAAAGTTTATTGAAGAATACTAAGAAAGAACAAAGGAAAACAATTGACTATTTTACGCAAGATTTATACAGTCAGTGTGAAGAAAGTTATATAGATTTAAAAGCAAATATTAAAGACACGCTTCGATTATTAAAGATAAATGTGGAGACGGTAGAAAACTCAGCACAAATTGCAGCATCATATACACAGAAGGAAAGTTCGAGCAGCGCAGAGGTCAAGCTTCCGAGAATCAATCTACCTACATTTTCGGGGATTTATGAGGAGTGGCAATCATTTGAAGATACATTTACGGCGTTAATATCGAACAACAAATTATTAAGTAATGTACATAGGTTTCATTATTTGAAATCGTGTTTATCTGGCGAGGCAAAAAACACTATTAAGCATATTCAAGCGACAGATCAGAATTATGAGAAAGCTTGGGAGACTTTAAAAATAGATATAGCCACAAGCGGCTTATAGTAAACGCGATATTAAAAAGGTTATTTACATTAAAAAGGTTAACACCCAATCACCAGGTCATTTAAAGACACTGATTGACACTACTAAGGAGTGTTTGAATAGTTTAGAATCTATGAATATTTCAACATCTACTTGGGACCCTATGATCATTTACATTACTGTGCAAAAATTGGATTATGACACGCATAAAGATTGGGAATCCCATGTGAGTCGTGAGTATCAAACTGAACTACCTACTTTACAAAATATGATTACCTTCTTGGATAGTAGAATACACACATTAGAGTTAACCTGTTCGCCTTCTTCAAGCTCTCAAAAATCATTTAAGACTACAGAACGTTCGTGTCATTCGTCAGCCGTAAATATTATGTGTAAATTATGTAAAGGCCAGCATCTCCTCTGTCACTGTAAAGAATTTGTGAAACTTGATCCAGAGAAGAAAAGTGAAGTCGTCAAGAGCAATCGATTATGCTACAATTGCTTGTCACCAGGCCATCCTGTGTATTATTGTAAGCAGAAGACTTCTTGTAAGATATGTGGAAAGCGACACCATTCACTTCTTCATCATAGTAAAAAGAGAGAAGATTTTCAGGATACAGAGAAGAATGCAACAACACCTGAAATCTCAATGAACACGCTTAATGAACAACAAGAAAATCTTCTGGATGAGTCTATCATAGTGAACTTCGCACACAAGCAGAGAAGAGCGTTATTAGCAACAGCGTTGGTTCCGGTCCGGAGTAAGTGTGGCCGGGAGGCTACGCTAAGGGCACTAATCGATCCTGGCTCACAAGCGTCATTTATAAGCGAGAATGCATCTCAACTCATTAGACTAAAGAAAACTCCTGTCCAGTGCTCAATCACAGGAATTGGCAGCACCACAACTCCAGTGCGTTATGTGGTACAGTTGGAGATATCCTCACAGTATGACACTCAATTCAATCTCCCTCTGAAAGCATATGTTTTAAAATCACACATAACATCAAAGTTGCCCAGTTCCACAATAAAACCACAATCCGATTGGTCACACTTGGGAGGTCTAACACTAGCAGATCCACAATACTACATGTCAAACAGAATTGATCTATTGCTTGGTATTGATGTATATACTGAAATTATAAGAAACAATTTAATAAAAGGGCCACCAGGCTCACCGTCAGCCCAGGAGACAAGTTTGGGGTGGATTTTGTTTGGCAATATTTCTAAACATGAACACACGAATAAAGAATTAACAGTCATGCATCAACAAATAGATATAGATATGGATAGTCTATTAAAAAATTTGTGGAGCATAGATGAATCAGCCAAACGTACACTTACCTGTGATGAGCGCGTCTGTGAAGATATTTATAAAACCACACATAGTTGAGATTCAGATGGAAGGTATATTCTGAAATTGCCCTTTAAAATAACACCACAAGAAATAGGATCTACTAGAGACATAGCACTGAAGAGATTAGAACGATTAGAAAATAAACCTAAATTAAGAGAAGAGTATAGTAAGGTTATGGAAGAATACATACAGCTTAATCACATGGAGAAGGTCCCAAAGGAAGAGATAAATAAAGTGTCAATTTATCTACCACATCACGCCGTGGTACGAGATAGTGAAACCACGAAGGTGAGAATTGTCTTTGACGCGTCATACCAAAGTTCAAAAGGAAATTCACTCAATGATTTACTATTAGTTGGACCTCAATTACAAAAGGATATACGAAACTTAATCATGAGATGGCGCTTAAACAAGATTTGTTTTATAGCAGATATTCAAAAAATGTACCGTATGATATTAGTCACTAAAGAAGACACTGATTATCAACGATTGTTATGGAGACAGAATCCTACTACAGAAGTTGATGACTATCGTATGCTCAGAGTAACTTTGGGACAGCCTCAGCACCCTATTTAGCAATCAGGACCCTGCAACAGCTATCGACGGATGAAATGAATAAGTATCCTATTGGGGCTAGAATATTAGCCGAAGAATTCTATGTCGACGATTGTATTAGTTCCCATGATACAGTAGAAGACGCGATAGAGGCTAGTCAAGAGTTAATAAAGATTTTAGAAAGTGGAGGATTTATATTACAAAAATGGGCATCGAATAGCAAAGAGTTTCTAAACACAATTCCACAGTCATTGAAAAGTATAAGTGTTGATGCACAAGAGAACTTTATTAAAACGTTGGGTCTAATATGGAACATGAAAACAGATACATTTCATTATCAAATAAAATTACCACCTAAATCAGCCTTAATAACAAAGAGAATTATTTTAGGAGACATACAACGTTTGTTCGACCCTCTAGGGTGGATATCACCAGCAATCATCACTGCTAAGATTTTAATACAGAATATTTGGAAAGAGAGACTTGGTTGGGATGAAGAGGTTGGAAAATCGACTGAAGTAGAATGGAGTAAAATAAGAGACAGCTTTAAACATTTTAAAATACAAAGATGGATGGGTAAAGAAGTCAATGACGAGATATATCTGCATGGGTATTGTGATGCCTCCATTAAAGCATATTGCGCAGTAGTTTACTATAGATTAAAAAAAGAGAATGGAGAAGTCAGAACAGGAATAATTGCATCACGGACTAAAGTAGCACCAGTTAAAGTAATTTCTCTTCCACGCCTGGAACTATGTGGGGCGGTACTGTTAGCAAGATTACTTACACAAGTGAGAGAGGCTCTTAGACTACCAGAAAGTAACAGCTATGCCTGGACTGACTCCACCGTTGTTTCATCTTGGCTCTCAGGCGACCCTAATAGATGGAAACAATTTGTCAGCAATCGTGTAGTAGAGATATTGGACAACGTTCCCTGCTCAAGATGGCATCATGTCAGATCCAAAGACAATCCTGCCGATATAGGTTCTAGAGGTGTCTACGTAGGCAACCTAATAGACAATAAACTATGGTGGGAAGGACCAGAAAGCCTTAAAGAGAATGATGTTAAATTTTCTAGAATTACAATTAACCCTACGGAGCTAGAAATAAAAAAAATACCAGTAAATTTTAAGACATTGAAAATGAAATTTGAAAATTTTAGTACATTACAAGAACTTTTAAAAACTGGTGTTTATAGTTTGAGATTTCTGAGATATAAAAAATGGTCTACAAAAATCATATAACAATTACAACACTAGAAGTAGAGGAAGCATTAACAAAATGTATTAACATAGCACAAAGGGAAGAATTTGAAGGTGAATTAGAAAGTTTACAAAGAGAGAAAAATCTCAAGAAATTGAGTTGTTTGAAAACGTTAAATCCCTACCTAGACGAGAAAAATATTATCAGGGTGGGCGGCACAGTCTGCCGCCGAAATTCTTGCATCAGACGGCACACAATGGCATTTTATTCCACCATATAGTCCAAACTTCGGCGGACTGTGGGAGGCCGCCGTGAAGTCCACCAAGTTCCACTTGAAAAGAATCCTAAGTACCAACCTAACGTATGAAGAATTATCGACAATATTGTGCCAAATGCCAGTACAAGAATAAACCGAATTACCGGCATAAAAATCATCAAAGTAAGAAGTGTATAAATTTAGTGCTAAGACACGTAAGTAGAAATCTAACTATTGTCATCTCTGCAGGCTAATCAGTGAAATATTAGTGCAAGGAAGAAAAAAGCTAGTAAAAATTAAATAAAGAATTTTTTATATTACCCTATAAATAAAATTGTAAATCACCACACATAAATAAATTGATGTTTATGCCATCTAGTGGCATTTGATGGAACTATTTGCGAAACTTGCGTCAGCGCATTAACTTGACAACGTCAAGAAACAGCCGCACTTAGATTTTAGTACTGCTATTTCACCGCTAGTGGACACCACAAGTATCATAACATGGAAAGTATTATGAAAATTCTGAAAGAAATTCAAGGCGATCTAAACAATCAAAAACAAGAAATAAAAGACATGCAAGAGAAAATTACCAAATCTATAAATGACAATATCAACCAAAAGTTTGTAACTATCGAAAATAAAACGAACATCTTAGAATTAAAAATAAACCAACAACAGAAAAAAATAGACTATTTAGAAAAACAGGCTAGAAAGAAAGACCTGATATTCTATGGAGTAGAGGAAACCGAGCAGGGATACAAAGAATTACAAAGTATATTATTGCGATGCATAAAAAATAATATGAAGATCTCCGTTGAACCATCTGAAATAGATATTGTGAGGAGACTTGGTAATAAGGGGAACAAGCCGAGACCTTTATTAGTAACATTTACAACAATGGGACGGAAAATTGAAATTTTAAAGAGGAAAGAATTACTCAAGGGTTTACTCATTAACATCAAAGAAGATTTTCCAAAAGAAGTTCTATTGAAACGCAAGGAACTACAAGAAGAAGTAGAAAAAGGACGTAAACTTGGAAATAATGTTGTATTACGCTATGATAAAATAGTAACATTGCCCGGTAACTCCAAAAATAGAAATTTTATAGCAGATACACGGAAACAAAGACGAAAGAAGAAGACGAACATGTTTTCTGCTATTTCGGGGAAACTAAAGGCCAGTATGGAGTCGGATTTCTTATAAAAAAGGAATATAAGCTAAACATTGACAGTTTCATTGGAGTATCCGAACGCATCTGCATTTTAAATCTCAATATAAGTAACACAAAACTCACTATCGTGCAAGTACATGCGCCAACTGTTGATGCCAGCAATCAAGAAATCGATAACTTCTACAACCAACTACAGAATGCACACTGTCAATATAACAATCAGAAAATAATATTAGGTGACTTTAATGCCCGTGTTGGACAACGAGTCCCGGGCGAAGAAAAAATACTAGGCAAATACTGTTACGGAAAGAGAGACAAAAGAGGTGAAAGATTGCTCCAATTTTGTTGGGAAAATAAATTATACGTAACAAATAGTTTATTCAAAAAGAACAATAAATGTATGTGGACATGGCTCTCGCCAAAGAAAAGAAGAAGCCAGATAGATTATGTAATAACTAATAGAAAAGAAAACATCTCAAACTTAGAAATTATAAGAAATCTAACATTTCCCAGTGACCACCGACTCTTGAGAAGTACGCTACAGATTACACCAAAAAAGAAAAGTAGAGCAAATTTTAAAAATTATAGAACTAAACTCAGTACTACAGAAGAAAAAGAACAATTCTTACAAATATTAAGTACAGATGTAAACAAAATTATATTAGAAGAAAATGAAAATATAGAGTCATTGTACAACAAGATTAAAAAAGTAATAATCACCAGTTTAAATCAAATTCAACAGAAATTAACAACAAAACGGGAGACCATCCCTATTCATATAAAATGTCTTATTGCAAGAAGAAATGAATTGATCCAGAAGAAATCCTTAACTAAAGAAGAAAAAGACGAACGTACCTACCTCTACAAAAATATCTACAAATTATTGAAACGCGAACGCACAGAACTTAGAATAAAAGTAATTAGAACACACCTCGAATCAACAGGTAGCTTAAAGAACGGTCTTAAAAACCTTAATACCACCAAACGATGGATACCCTATATACAAGATGACACCACTGATAAGAAAATATTGTCAAGATCTGAAATAATCGAAAAAGCAACAAAATTTTATAGCCACTTATACTCAGCAAACGATACAATTACAGAAATCGAAGCAACCAACCAGAGCTCTATCTCTCTAGCTAGATTCTCGACACAGGAAGTAATAAAGAAAATCAAATCTTTAAAATCCGGCAAAAGCAACGGACCAGATGGTATCCCAAATGAAGCTCTTAAACTGGGGATAATTCCACTAGCACCATACATAACAACTCTATTTAACAAGATCCTAAATGATAGAGCAATACCGAAAGAATGGGCACAATCTGACATAATTTTACTCTACAAGAAGGGAGACCCTGCAGATATTGGAAATTACCGGCCAATAAGCTTACAAACTATTCGCTTCATGTCTTGAGGATCGCTTAACATTGTTCACAGAGAAATATCAACCGCCGGAACAAGCAGGTTTCAGAAAAAACTTCTCAACAACAGACCACATCCACACTTTAAATTTAATTGTAGAGAAATATACAGAGCAAAATAGACCACTCTACCTGGCATTTATTGACTACGCCAAAGCCTTCGACTCTATATCCCACAAGAGCATGTGGAAAGCTCTACAGGAATGCGAAGTACCAGCAGAGACTATAGATCTTATAAAAGACATCTACCACAAAAGCAAAAGTCGTGTAAAACTGGAGAGACGGGGTCCCGAAATAAACATTTGTAGAGGCGTCAGACAGGGTGACCCCCTGTCACCTAGAATTTTTATAGCTGTACTCCAAAGTATAATGAAAACCCTGAACTGGGAAAGAAAAGGTATCAATATAAATGGGAAACTCCTCAATAATCTACGATTCGCGGACGACATCATACTCTTATCTGAAACAGCATCCCAATTACAGAAAATGATAAACGAAATATACGACGTAAGCAGTGCGATCGGCCTAGAACTAAATGCTTCCAAGACTAAAGTCATGACAAACCACCACATTATACCAATAAGTGTCAATAACAATTCATTGAAATATGTTCAAAACTATATTTACCTGGGACAACAAGTATCCTTCGCTAAGACCAGACACGAAGATGAGATAAAAAGACGAATTAACATAACCTGGAACAAATTCTGGAGCAATAAAGAAACCCTAAAATCGAAACTCCCTATGAAACTAAAGAAAAAAATTATGGACTCATGTATCCTACCGTGTCTTACGTATGGCTGCCAAACGTGGATATACAATAATAACACTAAAAACAAAATACAAGTGTGCCAGAGGGCGATGGAACGAAATATACTAAACATACAAAGAAAACACAGAAAAAGAAATACAGAAATAAGAGAAACCACAAAATTAATAGACGCTTTGGAACACTCTCAAAAACTAAAATGGAAATGGGCGGGTCATATTGCACGTATGGACAAGGAAAAATGGACACTGAGAGTGACTACCTGGCAAGGACCAACAAACAAAAGAAAAAGAGGTAGACCGAGAGAAAAATGGATTGATGAAATAGTCAGAAAAGCCGGTAACAACTGGTTCACAAAAGCAAAAGACAGACAGACGTGGAGCAAAATGGAGGAGGCCTTTACCCGTTGAGGGGTCCATATTGAATAGTATGAAGCGATCTAAAAAAAAAAAAAAAAAAAAAACCTGAATTTATTTATTTAGAAACTTATTTAAAATGACGAATGATATACATATTATACTACTGTTATATAATAATCATTGTATCAATTGTAATATTTTATTAATTCATGCATGCACTTAATATGTACTTTTAATTCCTGATTTATTAATATTTGTTTTGTAATTTATTCATTATGGAAATAAAGAGGCTATAATAATAATAATAATTGTGCCAAATAGAAGCCTATTTGAACTCACGCCCGTTGACACATGTCGATACTGCTGACACCGAATTAGAAATATTAACTCCTGGACATTTCCTCATTGGAGAAGCCCCTGTCACTATACCAACCCCAAGTTTAAGAGACGCTCACATTAACTCTCTATCGAGGTGGCAGCTTTGTCAGAGGATGGTAGCTAATTTCTGGCACCGTTGGCTAAATGAGTACCTGACACGTCTACAAACTCGACCAAAATGGATGAAGAAGCAAGAAGAGTACGACATTGGCGACATAGTTCTATTGAAAGAGGATCAATTACCACCGGGAAAGTGGGCCCTGGGTCGCATTGTCGCTAAACATTCAGGAGAAGATGGTCTTACCAGAGTTTATAGTATTAAATATAGAAATAGTATCGTCCAAAGATCTTTGTCAAGAATTTGTGCATTGCCAATAGATAAAGATTGAAAGTTTTGTTAAGTTTTAATGTGTACTTTAGCACACTTATTTTATATTCTGGTTACTATCATGTTATTAATTGAGTATATATTACTAAGTTGAATTTTAGACTATTTTTGTTAATACTTACTCAGGGTACCTAATTAAGAGTATCTTATTGTTCATTAGTTAGTTATTACTATTGTCTACAAGTTAACTTAAGACATTCTAAGTTCAATTCTTTTTGTATTCATTTAAATTACTTACTGGCCACTATTACATGATTTATAGATTTTTATAGTTTTACCTTTAACGTTATTCTTTAGTAAAGGACTACGTCCTTTGGTGGGCGGTATGTTGAGATATGTATTATGTAGGTAGATGTATCTACAGGTTTGCATTTTGTTATGATTATTTCTCACAAACAGTTGCAATACAGACCTTGTGAACTACACCCGCATTTTATTTATACGCTAACTAAAAGGCGTATTAAACAGACAAGAATCAACCTTATTTTCAACATAACAATTTCTGTTAATTATGATGTTAATTAATTTATTATTCCCATTTACCATCTAAAAATTATCTTATATCATAATAACATTTTTCAGATAGGCATTCTTGTAGATGTTTTTTAAATGGGATTATGTCTAGATTTGTGATGTGATCGGGTATCTTATTATAGATGACAGGTGCCATACAGAATACACTTTTGCGCATTAATTTTGTATTTGCTTTTCTTATTCGCATCCTATTACTGGTGTGGGTTCTTCTATTGCGAGTAACCGTATCAGCTAATGTTTCGAACAGTTCCAGGTTCGACTTTACGAAAACTGCTGTTTCAAAAATGTATAAAGATGGCAATGTCATAATTTTATACTTTTTAAAATATGGTACACAACTATCTGTAGATTTTAATTTGAACATTGATCTAATGCTTTTAAGATTTGAAAACAATTTCTTTATTTGTTGAGTTTCCCCAGAATAGTACGCCATATCTAAGATAGGAGGCGGTTATTCCATGATATGCTTTAAGTATACCTTCCTCATTGAGCAGAGGTGCAAGCTTAAAAAGTGCATAGGCTGTACTGCTGATTTTTTTGCATAACTCTTCAGTATGTATTTTCCAATTAAGCCTATTATCAATATTCAGTCCTAGGAATTTTGTAGCGTCAATTTCATTTATTTTAATATTATTATATGTTATATTCATATATTGAATTATATTATGTCTTTGTGAAAATTGTATTAAATTTGTTTGGCCTAAATTAATTTTTAAATTATTTTAATCCATCCATTTAAAAAAAAAATGTTTTATTCTTTTTAATGTTCGTTGAACTTCGTCATGAACGAACCGTCATATACTTCGAAGGGTTCTCGTTCAGTCTCAATTAAATTTGAAAGATATCTATCTAAAGGGTGCAAAATCAAGTAATGAAGAATACAGTTTATTAAACTCCCTCACGATTTAGGCTAATTATTTAAAGTTTATTATTTTATCTTTCATTATTTATTTATAACTTTATGTATTATGTGTAGAAATCTAGTAAGTTAGGTGCACTGAGATTACAGTTATAATCAATAGTTATAAAGTTTTTTTTATGCAAAATATATACAACTTACATAAACTAACATATACAAATACACACATACATACATATAAATACACATTAATACATATACTTTATAGTCGTACACTGTAAATAAGGAGATGTACTATTGATTAGGTTTGAAACATGTTTAATACGAGTATATCATGATATTAATTAAATATAATTTATATTTTATTTCATTTTTATCATATTTAATATATAAATTATAGTTTAAAAAAAAACTAAAAAAACACGCTTTTGTAACTAGCCGAACTAAAAAGTAGAAAATATTTTTTTCTATTGTATGTCTCAAAAGACTCTTATTACGTAGCAAAATAAACAAAAGAAAAAGTATGGAAAAAGTCGTTAATAATCCTAATCAGTATAATCGGCCATATTTATCAAATTATTGTGTTGTTATCGGTCCTTGATAAGTTTGGGAAGTTTCAATTTAATTCGTCGGTTACCAAGCCAAGCCAATAAAAACGTGTTAAAAAATGATCGTTGCAAAATTTTATTGGTAAAATTTTATTTTCATTTCGCAACTATGTTGATATTATACGCATATAATAAAAAGGTAATAAAATCAATGCCATTTTAGTTTTAAAATTTATATTAAGCAGCTACATTACAAACCACTGCGATATATTTATATTAAACTTCTTACTTTTCCACTAAGTTACACTTTTTAATTTAAGAAAATATTTATATATCCTGATGTTTTATTTTAAAATTATTATTGTAAATTACACATTATTTTGTGGTCTTTTCTTTGTTCGATGTCTTGAAAAGTTATCATCCTTGGAAGACGATGCTATAGCGATCACAGAGGCGGTAATTCGAGACACCGTCAACAGCCTATTCGCTATATTGAGAATCCGGGATGTGGGGCATAAGCCCCGGTTTAAGGATTTTTCAATAATACACAACTTTTTTGTTTCAATTCCTCTAAAAGATTGGAGTAATATGAAGAGAATATCGCGACTAATACAAGTACATAACCTCGAAAATAATACGCTACATTTTATTGCACAAATAAATGAAGTTTTAAATGAAGGTGATAACAATATCGAAGCAACAGAAGATATAAATGTGAAAAAACTTATTGAAAAATTTATTAATAAACTTCGAGATTTGAAGAAAACTTACACGTTCAACAAACACTTATCCAATTATAGCGTAAATGCGAAAATCTTGGCACACCTCAACAATTCTAGAGGAACATTTCCAAACATCTCTAATAATCATCAAACAAAACTTAATGAAGATAATGACCTTAAGGGTGATGAAATCTGGAGTAAGTGGTTATAGACTGTTGACTTGAATACTTAAAGCACGATGATTGATGATTTTTCGTCAGTGCTAGTCTTGCATGTCTCTTTGCGTTGTATAAGAATATTTTTAATTTATTTTAAATCGTACGTAAAATCTAAAATACCTTTCATACTTTCATAAATTTTAGGACCAACACAGAGAAGCGGCCGCCGTATCTTCGCAGGCCATAGGACTCGCATCAAACATTATCCCTTCATGGCGAGCGTCCATTTCTTCGGGCGGTTCCAGTGTGGTGGATCTATCCTTCAAAAAGATCTGGTGATTACTGCGGCGTCCTGTCTACAACTGTACGATAATTATTATTATATCTACTGTAAGCTTTTATCACCTTATTAACGTCTGGATATTAAGTAATACATAAGTAATATCCAAATAACAACCAAGCAATTTAGAAATAAAGATGGGTAAATTTGGAATATAGAATATTCCTGATACAGGTTGGGGAGTTTTGAGGATTGGCCGATGTCGGGCAATCGAAGCCCTTAGATACAAATGTTTTTGTAGATATTAACATTAATCATTTTGTTATTAATGTTATTGATGTTTTTGGTAATTGTAGCGCTTGGAATAACCGCTTCTTTCGGGAGAATCCAGCGTTTCTCTCAGTTCAAGTTGGTTCTGATTACTACGAAGCCGGTGGTGAAGACATACCAGTATTTGAAGTTTATTTTCATCCTGACTATTCTCCGAAAACCCTGAATAATAACTTAGCTCTTATGAGACTAAGTGTACACATTGTGTTTTCCAAGATACATAAAAGTGTCAGGAGGGTACAGTTTGACAGATCGCCGACCCCATTGCCTGTTAATACTGATGGTATTGTTATAGTTGGATGGGGTGCCAAAGATGTAAGTATAATTTATACAGACTGTTACAGAATGGTGGAGTCAGTGTTTAGAGTCATAGATACTTCGAGAATAATAATATTATTTATGTAGATAAAGAGTACAATACTTTATAATAAATCGTTCTTTAATTTATAAATAAAATACATTTGTTGTTTGTTTGCCCGAACTAGGTTGAACCTGTGTCTCGGGCAAAAAAGTGCTTACAAGCTATTTTATCAATATAAATCTACATAACTACAATTAAATTATAAAAACATTTTAATAGCCTAGCTTGCAAATTGAAACTTTAAGAAGTCTGGATGTTAAAGAAAACTCATTTATTTTATGTTTAATTTATTTTATTGGCCTACCAACAATGGTTAACATTTTAAAGACATGTTTTCATATTGCTTCAAAATTATAACCACGCCTTTCTGTAACAATGTACATAGAAAAATGTAAAAAATTCTTGACATTTTGAAGCTTGAACTTTGAAGAAATAAATTATATTTCAGCGTACAAATATTGTATACGATCCATGGATTAATAAAATAAGCTTTTCGGAATTGGAGTATTATCCACTAAGAGATTGTCAGGAGATTTATTCCAAGTAAGTATTAATAAGTATTTATTTTACACCGAAGACACAGCTAGTTTCAAAATATCACTAGAATGTCTTAAATTTCTTTTTGTATATAATTTTGAGGTTGGAAGTGCTCATTGATGGTTCTATGATTAATTATGTATCATTTGATTTTATATATTTTTCAGAGAATTTGTGACCAGAAAACACTTTTGTGCTGGATTTTTGTCCAAAGGAGGCGGTGCATGTCAAGTGAGTATTTTATTTAATAATAAATGGAAATGTAAAAATTGTTGTAGTGATTTAAATTTGAAAAATTTCCATTCCATTAATTAAGCTAAAGATCTCCCTATAATTTTTCCCAAAAAAATCCACTCGGTTTAATTATTATTTTTTACGTTAGAGATTTTGTTTTTGTTTAAAACTTCCTGCATTTACAGAGTACGATGTGTAACTCCATGTAAGGCTAAGAAATTGGTCTCAATCTAATAAATAAATTTAGTAAATATATATTTCTTTATTTAGTCTTTATGCACATATAAACGCGACAAAGGTGGAGCATTTTCTACAAGTCGACCTTAAGGCAATGCAGAGCTAAAACATTGTAGATGCACAGAAACTAGAAATAAAAATTTAAACAAACAAATATAACAAAATATTTGTACCCAGAGTCTCATATGGATACCGTTCGATCAATTTCGATCAAGTAAAACATATACAACAAGTATTTAAATATGATCATCATCAACAGCCTTTAACAGTCCACTTTAGAAAGTAGGCTTAAGGCTTGCAAGGTTGTAGATAGGATATTTATGCCCGTTACTGCTTTCGAAGTTCACGTAAAAATAAATATTTGTACATACGAGTACACTCGCGGCCTTCTCACCGAATGATCCGTGCTCAAAATATACATAATAATATAAACAAAATATTTTTCTTGGGTAAAATTTGAACTCCTGGTTAGGCAGTCAGGATTGCTAATCACTATACTAACACAACTTTGGCCTGGCAATTTTTTAGGGAACAAAAAGTTGTTTCAATTTAAATTACTAAAATACACAATACAACGTAAAAGATTAGCAAGAATTTTTACCGTAATTATTGTTATATTTCAAATACTTTAAGTATCTTTCTTATTTTATTTTAAGAAGGCTTATGGATTATTAATATACCATACATAAAGAAAAAAATAGAAAAGTTGCTTCTTCGCAAGTCTCCATTTTTTTCCACATCTTGTTCAAAATATTTAGCATTGAAACCATGACACCAGTTTAACACAATAATATAATTTTGACAGAATGATCTTGGAGGTCCAGGCTTATCGAATGGTATTTTAGTTGGTGTGATCAGTTTTGGACCACCAACCTGCGGTACTCCTGACGCTCCTACAGTTTTCACCAAAGTTGGCTTCTACAAGGATTGGATTGACGAGATTATAAAAATGGTTCGTGACGTGGATATTGCTATAAAATTTCACAAAAATGTAAACAGATACACATACAACATTACAATTCTAGAACATTTTATTTTCTGTTTTAGCCCGTGCCCGCTGTTAATAGACTGACAACATTACGACAACCTAAAAGAACAATTGCTATGCATTACTCAGATAGAACCACAAGGACATTCAAACTCACACCATTCCGTGAATTTGCAAAAGAATACACTAGCGCCCCTTATAATATTAGAATGAATTTACCAAAAGATACTCTCAGAATATTAGAAGATGGCAAACTTTTTAAAGAGTTTTTATCCAATATGTTTGGAAATAATGTATCTGAACATGAAGTTTCCAATTTGTCTAAGGTAAAAACAAAAAAAGATGCCGGAAGAAAAGTGAAATCTAAATTAAAGACTTCCACTAGCGCAGCACATTCAATATTACCCGACATTGAAGAAGATATTGGCGATGATGTTTCAGATTTCGCTGAGGTCAAAACTAATTCGAATACTTCCGCTAGTATACCACCTCTATTATACGATAATGGAGAAAGCGGGGCTGAGTCGATTGAGATAAAAAAGAAAAAAAATCGTGAACGCAAATTGAAATCTAAATCAACCACTACCGCAAGAACATCATTAATGCTATATGATTACAATGATGGTATTTCTGATTTGACTGAAGTGAAAACTAAAAAAGTAGCTGAAAGGAAAAGGAAAATTTTATCAACGATATCATCTAGTACAGAACTTCCAATATTATACGATGTAACTGTATATAAAGACCAAAACTCAAAGGAAAATAAAGACAATACGGAAGAATTTGAACTAAATAGTGACGTACTAAATGAAGGTACCAAACAAAATAAAGGGAAGAACAACGAAAATTATTCAAAATTTAATACAGCAACAATTAAACAGACCGATGACGATATAAAAGACCTAGATATTGAAGAGTTAATGAGGGCAATCATTGAAACAAATACAGATACAAAAAATCTACAGGAAAGTATTCTTGAAGCGGATAGTAATGATCAGGACTTAAATTTAGACAATCATATAAGAAAATTTAAAACAACAAAAACTAAACAAACTTTTTCAACTACACGATCCCCATTACAACAACCCGATGAAGAAGAATACGTAGATGAGTATGATGAAAAATATCAATCTAAAATGAAAACCACTGATGAAACTGATAACACAGTAAATAATGCAATGGACAACACTGAAGATTCAACATTGGAAAAGGACATAAACGATCTTCTTGACCACTTAGATTTACGTAAACTCTTGGAATCTGAAGAATCCGCGCGGCTTCATACGGAGAAAAATAAAAAAGATACGCAAGACATACAGAAACCGAAACCAAGAACTGTTTTAGGGGACAAGAAGAATGAAAAATTAAAAGCAAAAGAAGCTCAAATTGCCTCATACTCTTATGAAATTACGGGAGAAAATAGTGGAGAAGTAGATTTTGATGCTTAAGTTTTTCCATTAAATTCGTAGCAAGGGTGTAACTTTCTTTTATTTCTCACGACGAAATAATATGTGTTACATTTAGAAACACTAAATTTAAAGTACAATCTAGATATTGTAATACACTGTGCAACAGTTTATTTTACAAACTGAAATTGCTTGCAATCACTGTCAAATTATTTAACTATGCTTCTATTAACAGATTTTTGGTGTGCTTGCTAGTTCTTGGGGCTATAAACTTATTTAACTTATCTAAAAGTTTTTTTTTTTTCAAATTACAGCCTTTACAGGATAAAATCTTTACATATTATAAAATGAAATCGTTCCCGACCTTTCAAACTACGCAACGGATTTTAATGCGGTTTTCATCGATAGGGAGAGTAATTGAAGAGGAAGGTTTACATATATAAAACATGCACATTTTTTTAGAGAGAAACATTTGTCTACTTACATTATATATCTGCTGTAACGCGACAATGACGATAAAAAAAATGACATGACATGCATTCATAAAATAAATATTCCACTGCTATTGAACGCTTTAGGATTATATTTGACTTAAAAATGGACCAATAGGCGTCACTTTTAAGTCGTCTCTTTCCATGATCCTTCTATGAACTTGATCTAATCTCTATCCTGTTCCAATCAGTAATGACAAAAATAACTAATATACATATTTGGACTACTACTACAATAATAATATGTTTGGACATCTTACACATAACGCCATCTAGTTTCAAACTAAGCAGAGCTTGTACTATGAAAGCTAGATTGACTAATAGAATACTTATATGCTTTTTTGTAAATGCTTACAAATTTAAGAAACCTGAAACATACACATTGTAAAGCGTTACTGTTAAGATTTTTGGGACGCAGTTCCTTATCGCGCGTTCCACGCTCTGAGCGGAAGGAAGCGAGACTGAAAAATGTGTTACAAGACTTTTTATCGACACTTCTTGCGGGGGTCTATGGACCCCCACGGAACGAAGTTACCCCTTACGCCGTATGTATTTCATAAAGGGGCACAAACGATCAGACGGTTAACCTGATGGTAAGTGACCACCGCCCATGAACCGTTGCCGACCTTTCAGTCTTCACTCCAGAATCAGGGGGAGGGTTTTGGCTCCGGTACCCTCAATCACTTGGTAAAAAGTAATTGTAGAACTGCTAAACACTGGTTTTCTGTGACGCTGTGGTATGAACATCTCATTATCTACATCTTAGTAAGGTAGGCCCTACCTTACCTAGATGTAAACACAAGTTTTTAAGTAGGTTTAAATAACATGTCATTTTTCCATTTTTACAACTATTTTCATAATATTGTGTTATAAGAATCTTTTTATGGGGTAAAGAAAGTTACGAAATTGAATTCACGTTATCAATAAAAGAAATTGAATATTGCACAACTGAGGTTAAACCAATATTTCGAAACAGCTTTAGTGACATTGAAACACTTTAATTTAACTCACATTCTTTATTTTTCACGCACACCTTAATTTATCCAGGCTAAGTAATTCATTTTATTTTAAAAATAAATAAAATGCTGTCGTTTACATTTGTGATATTTTTACTGACAGCAACTATCACACAACATCACGGCAACTGTCATCACAATTCACATCACAACTATCATCTTATAAAAGTTTTAAAATCAAGAAGTAATTTCTTCAGACAATTCAGTAAAACTACCGAAAAGGTAGTCAATGGAATATTTGACTCCCTGAGTCTGTCAGAAGAGTTTTCCAAAGTACCGAAAATAAAAACATTATTAACAATGAACCATGATTTAAAAGATATAGCGGAAAAAAACTTTGAATTATTTGATGTATTGAGAAATGCAAGCGCTGTTCAAGTTGATGGAATGCCAATAAATCAAATTCGACTTAACGAACTGATAATAAAAATATTAAATCAAAATGTGAATAACGAAACAGAGAATGACCGTTATCAAACCATTCAACGTACGTCTACAGCTAAATTTTCACCAGAATTTGCCAATAGCCAAGAGTTTAAAGCATTTATAAGCAGGTTTATAGGTAAATTAAAAAGCCTAACTGTGGATGATTTATTTTCAAATAAGGACAATGGAAATTCATCTGGTGAGGAAGTTTCTGGCCAAAGGAACAAAGTATTGGGTTAGTATTTTAATTCTTTCAAACAAGCAATAGTAGAGAAAAAAATACATTTGCATGAGCTCTAGCTATCAAATTTTAGACTTAAGTAATACTGAAGTCATCATGATCTTAAATTAATATTCAATTCTTAGATTTAAAAACTCTGTAAAATAATATAAAAGCTAAGGTGAAGTTTAAATGAAAAGTCTAATAACGGGTATTCCGGACCGATACGACCTTTAAACCTTCAAGAAAAGAGCGTACTCCTTCCTAGAAGGCCGGCAACGCGTTTGTGACTCCTGAGTTGCAGACGTTCATGGGCGGCGATGGTCACTTTCCATCAGGTGACCAGTCTGCTCGTCTGCCCCCTCTAACATAAAAAAATATGTAAATAATCATCAGTAAGTACTCGTACTCTTAATCGTTTACCATAAATCGCGTCACTTAGAATGAAACAGTAACACTATTTTCCTGCAGAACCACCATCACAGCAAGAAACTGAAATATATAAGATAGAGAATAGAAGGATATACAGAGGAGAGACAACGAATATCATGTCTTATCCATTCGTGGTCAGCATCCATGTTAGAGGAGAATTTACGTGCGCCGGCAGTATAATCGGTGTCGATCTTGTCATTACAGCTGCATCGTGCTTGAAACTGTAAGATCATTTCTCTTATTGAAAACTGTGACGTCACAGGTTATTTATCTGTTGTCAGCTAAGTTTGGAATGGGGAGAAGGATGTTATGTATGTATTGGTGTTGTATTGATGATGATTTTCAAACATGGACATAGATTTTTCTTTCTAGAAACATGGATATTTTCGTAATGCATCTTACAGTTATGATAGTGAACTACCGCCATTAATATTTCAAATATGACATCACAGTAGAACGAGTTAAATTCATTTTATTTAGCTTCTAAATTGAAATGCTTGAAACGCTCCAATATTAGTACAGTTATAACATATCTTCTTTTCCCTAAACACGTGTTCTAACGTCACAACGTTTAAATATTAAAACAAAATTTCATAGGAACTTAATACTCTTAATACCGGATTCTTAAATGTGACTATACCAAACGTAGTTAACAACTTTTAACTTGATCCGAAACTAATATCTACTCATCTGCACTAGCTTTAACTAAATATTTCTAATTTTTAGTCAGGACAACACGTATGTCCGATTGAACAGCGATTATTATTCGCGATTTGGTGACCTAATACCAGTGATGGCAATCTATATATACCCACAATACGATTCAAAATTCTTGCATCACAATCTAGCTATCCTGCGTCTTCAGAGAAGTCTTAAAACTAGCAGGATCTCTTTGGATCGTGGAAATTTAAATCTAATACCTAAAGCTGAAGTTACGATACTTGGATGGGGCGCAATGACTGTGAGACTGGTAACTATTCCTTTAATGTACTCTGTTTTATTAGTTAGTTTTTAGTTCGGATCAATTATTTTATTTCTTCACTTAGCACTTATAGAAAACTTGTTTAAATGATGGCTTAGGCCGTTTAATAAGTTTTAACTTTTGTCTTCTTTGCAGAGAAATAAAAAAATCCAAAAAATTAAGGTCTCATGACATGTCGTGTACGACATACGACGACTTAAATAGTATTCTATCTAACACTATTTTTATTATATATTTTTTTATTATTTTTATATTTATTTTTTATTTATTTATTTTATAACTGAATGTTAACAATACTTTCCAAATCCAATTATAAACTGATAGAACAATTAATTACGAAAAGTTGTATTTATGAATCACCTTTTTTTTTCCGTGCGGAAATCCCCTCGGATACCACCTATCGGTGTCATATCGGACTCGAACCGACTAAAACCGCACGCCGTCTCGGGTACTAATAGCCGGGGAACCAGGTATACCCTAGAAAGGAAGTCCCTGGTGCCCCGACATACCTCGGGCCATCTACAGACGAGTAGACGACCCCCCGAGTAGACGACCCCCCGAGTAGACGACCCCCCAGTGTTTATGAATCACCCGATATATTTACAGCGCCTTTCGAAAGACTTCTTGATCTTCTTTTTTTTTAATTTCTACTTATTCTTGTACCAATGACTTGTGTTATATTATACCAAACACGTTAAATATTCGCAAATCGACGAGTTTTTGTTTGATGGCAAAGTCTTTTAGAATTGAAATGATAGTATCTTCAACAGTTTATATATTCAAAATATTCGCCTCTAGCGCCACATGACTACTTTGCTGTCCATATTTAGGTGGGCTTTTCCAGGTCTGGTCATCTCATGGTAGAGCATCTTTTTATTTCTTTTTGCAATTTCTAGTATTTGTATATCCCAAGTAGAGCTAAATCTGAAAACTTCATAAAAATAAAGATTATCATTTATTTTGGTTTTATTGAGGTTCATAGTGAGACTTTGATTGAATTTATTGTCGATTCCAAAGGCCAAAAAGAGAAACAATTCTATGCGGCAAATGACATCGTGGGAAAAGCAGAATAAACAAATATAATTCTTTTTATTTGTAGCCAAACCAAACTGTTAACCAGAATAATAAGCTGGCGTATGACGTATTAACAGCATACGACATTGAAGAATGCAAAGAAATCTATTCAAAGTAAGTCAACTCACTGAGTTCACTTCAAATGTTTATCTAGATAACAGGTCCTGCCATTTTATTATTCGATCAATTAATCTGACTTCACGGATGGCGTAGTGGTTTAAGCGATCGCCACGCCGCTTCCTGCTACGCCGAGCGTTGTGGGTTCAAACCCCACAAACACTTTGTGTGATCCACAAATTGTTGTTCTGAGACTGAGTGTTCTTTGTGTCCGTTTCATGTTTGTTTATTAAGTCCCCCGCGACACAGGATATATTCCTAATGCGGAATGTCCTTAAAAAAATGATTTACGATTAATTTTTATGAGTGCATAATTTTCAATGTTCACTGTAGTCAGGTAACAACTAATTTATTACCTGACTACTCTCCATATTAAAGCCCAAAACTGATGCATTTTATCTGAGTTCAAAAAACAGGTCGTCTATTCGCTACTTGTCTGCAAAATTCAAGTCACGCTTATAAAAAAAATGTGTTAATTATGCAAATGATTGTCGGATTAAAACATTTTAATTTATAAGGCTCTTTCACTCAAACTGACTGACTTCAAACCAGTGCTAAAATAAAAAAAAAAACAAGGTACAATGAACTCAGTAGCTTTATACTCGAATCCCTTCATTTTGGACACGCCATCGGACCCATGATAGATACTCGTATCTTTACTACGATGTGCTGTTCGACCATTTGTCCCACCATGACATCAATATTAATTAATATGGTGCAAGAATAACAATTTAGGATTGTCTAACATTTGATTCTTCTCCAATTCTCACTTATATATTCATATCATATTTAGTAACCGTATCTTACTTTTACCATTTCTTTCAGGGCGTACGTCACCGGGAGTAACTTCTGCGCCGGTTTCAAGACAAGGGGCAGCGGAGCCTGCACTGTAAGTACCATTTAGATCATTAGTAATCAATAAGTGTGGTAACCCACGATTCACATGTAATTCTAGTAGGTATCATTCATGGGATATGTTCCTTAAATTGAATGTATGCTGGATGAACATGACAATTTAACCTTAGGACTTGTCAGAAAACAAACTGGTATGTCATATTATAGTACGATATCAAATTTCAGAGAGACGTTGGAGGTCCCGGCGTTATCGATAATTTATTATTCGGAGTAGTGAGCTTCGCGGCTCCTGTTTGTGGTGACCCTGACGCTCCTACAGTCTTCACCAGGGTTGGATTCTATATCAAATGGATTGATTATATTATGTCTTTAGTAAGTAATAATAGTAATTAAAAATAAGTAGGCACAGGCATTTTAAACACTCATTATTTAGAGTCATTAAGCCTGTTATCGACTAAACTCTATAACACTCTGAAGAAGAGGAAATTTCCATACTGCAAATTCCCTCTTCTTATTCTTTCTTCTTCTTAAAAAATGAGAACGAAAGCAAACAGATAGGTATTACTTATTGCTAATACGTGTTATACCTCGAATACGTCGGAGTCGCATATCCGTAAAAACGGTTTAGTTCACGTTCAACCCCTACAATCTCTATCCTTGTCCATGTTTAACCAATATTATGTTGTCCATGTCCATTTTCTACCCCTGAGGGGTTTCAACCCCTAGAACTAGTAGAACATAGATATTTAAAACCAGTTTTAATAATTTTATTATTAGTCAGTTTTATAAATGTAAATGATGTATTTTTCACGTTGTTTAGCGTCCATCACAGCGAGAAATAGAACCAAATATTAAATCAGAAGATAACAGAGGATACTATAATACACGTCTTCCACTAAGTTATCCTCACGTGAACCTGTTCAATGAATACCACGTCAGTGATCATATACATAAAAGCCTCAGGATTAGTGACGATAACGCACAAGAAGACAAAGAAGATACTGCTGTTCTGCTTCAAATAATTAACGATATGAACAACAGAAACCAGATGGTTTATGATATAATTAATGATGATTTATATGATGATTTTGTGAACATATTGAAACCAGAGTATGATGAAAGTATTCTTCATCATCCGTTGATAAACAAAACACAGTTATTGATTTCTGGTATTCATTACAACGTTCCTACCGCTAAATTGCCAACGGCAGCCACGCCTAAATACATACCAACTTTTATGCTACGTTCAACTCCGGCCGAAATTTTGAGACAAAAGAACGGACCGAAATAACACGACGTCAACTCAATTGCAATAACTAATATTTAAAATAGAATAAATTTATCAACAGAGTCAAAAGACGCTATAAAAAATAATTATTAACATCCTGCCTTGAAAAGCAATTGAAAAGTAAGCTATTGTAAACTTTAAAGGCAACAGATAGGTTTAAAGAACTTTATTAATACTGAAGAACGTTATAGTTCACTTAGTGAGTATAATATAAAAATAAACAAAGTACTAACAAGGAACAGCGATCGTAGGTTTCTAAATCAATGACTCCAAAAAGGTAAGAAAACAGATTGCATTGTCTTATGTACTCACACGAAATTTTATTTTGTACATATTATATTTGTAGGAAGTCCGTTATGGTTATTCACTACAGTAAGCATTAGATTGCACCATATAAATTAACATTAGTTTATAGTAGGCGCGTACTTTTGCTACTTTATTTCTAGTACAAACCAAAAATGTCCGGTAGTTTGAAAATTCTAACTAGATTAGATTTCAATTAGATTTAATTCGGCGATTTTAAGGTAAATCAAAATATACCACATTTTAAATCACTTTGCAAACAAAACCAGGAATAGTGATAAAAGTTAATCCCTGAATATCATTGTACACGCTAGAAATGAAAACTCAGTCACCCTAAAGTTTAATAAGACGAAAAACAATATTCTAGTTTATTTAATTATTCCACTTAAAGAAAATAACCTGAACATATTTCGGAGTCCAATATCACATATTTAGCAAACAAAAAACAACATGAACATTTGTCTTTACTGTAAAGTATTTCAGTACATGTTATGTTATTCATAGGTTTTGAAAGTCGCGGCATCTGAAATTTTCCTTATTTTCCATCTTATTTTATTACCTAAATGAATCAATGTAATGGAATTATTATACATTTTATTTTAATTCCATCCTATCCAGCAGACTGATATACATAAAGGCTCTTAACAGGCGCGTTTTTATCGGCCGATAATTTCGTCCCAATTGCTCGCACACAGCTCTTTCTATAGATAGTTCAACTCAGTTGTGCGCGTGGCCCTATGTGTGCGTGGGCTTGTAAATATACAACTTTCATTCGTGTGGCAGTGACGCGGCAGTCGGACGACGACTGCCACACGAATGAAAGTTGTATATTTACAAGCCCACGCACACATAGGGCCGCGCGCACAACTGAGTTGAACTATCTATAGCAATGTATACTAACTTTGTAGAAGTCCTAATACAAATTGTAATGAAAACCGATATCGCAATAACGCATCTGATATTATCGACCGATAAAAACATGCCTGAGGGGGGGGCCCTAAATATGTAGCTGCTACAATTCGTATACTACGAGTATAACTATAACTAGACAAAATGAACTTAACATCACACAATTTTCTGCGAGCCTTTTACTCACACTAGTTTGGAGTTAGATTTAAGGGTGAGATCTAATGCGTACTTACAAAGTACGCATTAGATCGTGCGTGTCATAATATTTATTCTGCTTTGCTTGTGACTTATATTCTCATTTCGTGGCTGCGTCCTTACTGTGCCCAACATCTTAACACTTAATATTGGAAGTCACATTTTTCTCATCTCTTTTTATTTTGTTGACATTTCCTAAAATATTTTTCAACAGCTTAATTACTTCTAAAATTCAACAGACATGAAATGTGATGACTTCATTATATTCAGAGGACCTAGTTCGACGGCGAGCGCGTTCGTCATTGCGATTACTGAAGATTTTAGTGTGGACCAATCGCAATGCCGAACGCCTTCACCGTGACAATCTGAAGGATGTGAAATAAACTCACACTAGGCCCTCTGAATTGCTAAATAAGCAGTAGTCACTATCCTATGATAGTAGTTCAGATGCTGTAGGCATTATTCATGTTATTTGAAAATTTGAACGTTTTCTTGTAAAAATAAAAAAAATGTAAATGTGCGAATTAATGTTACTAGGAAGTTATTTATTTTGCTGTGGCCTGATACCCATAACACAAGTTAGATCTTACCATGGGTATCAGTGTTCCAAACCACTGTCCGTTTCTAAGTTTTTGTATAACTACTTTCATGTATGTATTTGTTGTAACTTTGGTTAACATATAAATAGAGATAATCGATATAATATATTATTATTAATTAAAAAGTCGTTTAAAGTGTAAACGATAAAATAAAGATTGGTTCATTATTTTCATTGGTTTTATTCTGAGTTTTCTAAGTCGCTGATTTTCTGAACTTAGACTTTGCTAAGCTTAAACTTAGGTATATTCAGAGACCACTATATGTAATTACCGATCTTCTCTTAAGTCTAAGTAAAGACTCAGCAAAGTCAAAGTCTGCTTAATAGATCTCACCGTTAGTCGATTTTTTTACACGGTGCGACCGCCATCACACTTCTACAGCCCAAGTACTAGGTGATATCAATGTTCTGTAAGAATACTGTTGTTTGAGTTTTTAGGGATCCAATTACCTGCAATAATTAAGACAGATGTTCGTATGGCAACCGGTACCGACGGCTTAACATGCTCTCCGAGGAACGGAGAGCTGCAAGGATGGCGTAGTGGTTTAAACCGTAAGCTTATTACTACGCTGAGTGTTGTGGGTCCGATCCCCACATGGAACGACACTTTGTGTGATCCACAAATTGTTGTTCTGATTCTGGGTGTTCTTTGTGTCCGTTTCATGTATGTTTGTAAAGTAAAGATATATTTCTAATGCGGGAGTTGTCTTTAAAAAATAAACATCAAACAAATGCAGATGAAATATGTGGGTATAATAAAGGTTACATTATGATACGTGATGATTAGGACTTATAGCTTATATATAACTAGAACATTAATAACTATATCTAGAAAGCTTGATATATATGATGGGGTAGTACGATCATTATCCTCAATAGGTCCCATAGTTCCTCACCTACTAACTGCGGGCGTGTTGGAGCAACGAAACAATTCAGTTCACAATGTAGAATATTACAAATAGACACACGACTATAGCTAGATAGGTGTATCACCAGGAACGCGTGACGGTTTAAATATACGACCGCCCTGTTCGACTGCCACGCAACAAGTGTTCGTGTGCGCCGTTCGGCCTTTATACATTGACTCCGTCAAGAGCCGACAGGTGGCGCTGGCCTTTCGGATAAGACGTAATTGCGACATATAACTTAAACATTGCCTTCAATGCTCATTATTATTCTTTGCCACATTAGGGTAGATGAGGAATGGACTACATAGTGGTTTCTACCGTTAATATGTCTATCTAAATATTCTATATCTAAAAGAAGAAACTGGCAGACTTGTTCACTGAAACCGCTAGGTCTAGAACCATGGAATTTTATACAAATGTTCTTTAGGTGACTTGGGTGTGCACTAAGAAAGTATTTTTTTTAATTCCACCCCTAAGGATGCAAAATGAGCGTTAGATATTTATAAGATACTTCTACTAACTCACTCAGTAAATACTCTTTATTAAAAGGAATAAACGTTGTTGTAGTAAACACAGGATATTATGGAAAAGCTTCCAAAAACAAAGAGATGACATGATAACCTTTGAATATTGGTTAGAAAAAAATAGATGTATAGCTGTATTCGATTGACACTCGGGCAAAGGTTCAGCAACCAGTATCCATTATTCTGATTTATGTGGTATATCTAGACAAATATGGCCTTACCTGTGCGTAACACGTATCGACAATAGATTAGTACGTATTATAAGTGGCACCAAACTTCGGTTAGCTAAATTTGGACGTCTCTATCTATACAATCCAGGATAATCAAATGAAATGGCAAAATCAAAGGCTTAATCCATAGTCAAAAATATATACCTATATATTATCGTAAAATGTATTATAATCTTCCTCTGGCAGTTCTTTCCAAAATTGGAAAGTTAAATTGCGAAAATAAAAAGGACTTCAGATATGGATTGTTGTGCAGTTTTATCCAGAGTCAGTTATAATATTTATATATTATAATTATTAATTTGACAGGCCTATTGGTCTGGTGGTTAGTGACCCTGACTGCCAAGATTCTCACGCAGGACAAATATTTGTATGATGAGCACGGTAATTAGTTCTGTGTCTGGGAGTAATTTATCTATAATATGTTTGTATTTAAAAATATATAAGTATGTTTATCAGCAGTCAGTCAGTGGTTACCATAGTACAGGCTCTGCCAAGATCAGACGGCCGTGTGTGAGATATTATTAGTAACTATATATGTGACCTTCAAAACTTCAAAAACAGAGCGTACTCCTTCCTAAAAGGCCATCAATGCGTTTGTGACTCCTGAGTTGCAGACGTTCATGGGCGCCGATAGTCACTTTCCATCAGGTGACCCGTCTGCTCGTCTGCCCCCTGATAAAAAATATAAATCCAATAGGTCATTCAATATTCTGTTCCTTAGGAAGTAATAATGCGTTCATGAATAATTCTACAGCTATAATATTAAAAGGTTCTGAAATATAGCTAAACAGTAAAAGGTTGTGAAATTATAAATTGATTTCTCAATACTACTTAAAATAAATTGACCATTGTGAAATGAATATAAATCAATTTTGTTGCAAAATCTCAACAAAATTTATATTAAAACACTTTGATTTAGCTTGATTTATATTTAAGATACACACATCCTTCAATAAATATTGGTTGAGTAAACTTTTTTTACATTTAAAATAAATAAAATGCTATCAACTAATATTCTAATGTCTCTATTCACGGTGGTCGTCGCAATAGATCATGGGCAACACCATGATTCTCATCGTATGTCTCATCTCGTGCATCTGCTACGTCCAAATGATAATTTCTTCAGTGAACTATCGAAAAATACACAAAGGATAGTAAACGGCATTTTTGAGACCTTCCATCTTCCACAAGTATTTTCTAAAGAACCGAAAATAAAAGTGATAATAAAAATGCTTTACAATTTAAACGATATGTCGCATAAAATTTTTGAATTATATGATGTATTGAGAAATGCAAGTGCTGTTGACGTTGATAATAGACCTATAAGCCAAATTCGACTAAATGAATTGATAATTGGAATATTAAATGAAGAAATAAATGTGTACAACGAAACAGAAGAAAGAAGTTCTGAAAAAACTAAAAGCATTAATACTAAGGAAAGTTCGGAATTCGCTAATGGCAAAGAATTTAAAAAATTCATTGGCGAGTTTTTAAAAAAATTGAAAAGCCTTACTGTAAATGATTTATTCGATAAGAAAGAAAACGAAAGTGAAGAATATGAATTCAATCAATCTGATCATACAAATCTCGATATATGGGGTGAGTTTATTTATCAACACAAATCCCTTCTATGTTTTATTTAATTCGTAAAAGAAATAAATCTTTTTTTTTTTTTTAATAAGTGCATTCAATAATTATATTAGTATTAAAATTAATATTAGTACTAATTGTAGTAGTGGCTGCTGACTGCATTCGAGATGCTGATTGCACAGATGGCGTAGTGGTTTAAGCGGTCGCCACGCCGCTTCCTACTACGCCGAGTGTAGTGGGTTCAAATCCTACATGGGACGACACCTTGTGTGATTCACAAATTGTTGTACTAAGCCTGGGTGTTCTTTGTGTCCGTTTCATGTATGTTTGTAAAGTCCCCCGTGACACAGGATATATATCCTAATGTGGGATTTGTCTTTTTAAAAAGAAAAAAAAAGAAAAGTATTCTGACGTATTAGTAAGTAACTACGAAATCGCGGCAAGTTCCTAAATTACGTAAAGGACAATGGCAGGTCCGCATACATATTTTTATTTGAACTGAAATGGTAGCGTTTAAATATCAAAAATGCCTACAACACTTGAGAAGTTATTCTTGACCATTCTCATAACAAAATTACTGGCGAAAGAAGTCTAGGAAAAAAGATATTGGAATTTGAATGTTTCGAGGTTAAGTACTAACATATTGTCAATGTTTTGTTTGAAACTAGATGGCGTTGTGTCGCATATAACCGAAAATATTATTATCATTATTATGACTCATAAACAAATCTACTTTGCTGTTGAAAGTGTTGGCCGATTCTCTAAGAGGGTGGAGGTTATTTTACCAATACATGTATTGGTAAAATAACCTCCACCCATTACTTAAGTAACTTCGTAAGCGAAGCAGGTATAACACTAGCTATAAATAAATCAATCAAAAATAAATAAATTAATAATAATTCTAATTATTGTATTGCAATACATATTTACACAAGGCAGAAGCTATTTTATTTATTTATTTAATTATTAGACAGCCAGTAGTTGCTGCATCGTTTACTAAAATCTAAAGCAGGCATCCATTATATTGAGATTAATACACAACATTTAAAGGCGTCACACCATGCATAATAGAGTAACACTACTTGAAATTAAAAATAGAAAAACATAACATCTATCCGAGTTTAACACTAAATTGAAGAAAAAGAAAACAAAAAATAATTGTGTAAGCAATGGTCATATTAGTCATGCGTGTTGGTATCATGACTGGTGAGTGCGGAACTCGACAAGATCTAAACGACGACGTATCGACTTTTGGAAAATATCGATTTATGTGCTGTTATCAACGATAATGTCTTTTTCTCATCACACTGTGTAGTGTATATTTTTTTCGTCGGAAAATAACTATATTCTATTTATTTAGTGTAGTAAAAATCGTTTAAAAAGAGTCAAATATATTCTAATTATGTTGATTTAGTCACTTTACCGTACGAGTGAAGCTGTGGGCAGAAACAAATTCATAATCATAATAGGTGAACCTTCATTAGATATTTCATCCAAAGCTATCAAAAACGATTATCGATGAAATGTTCCATAATGTAATAATGCCATCACGCATCCCTAGTCAGTTAAGCGTGATGGCGAATCTGTCATTACGTACTTAGGTCAAATTAAATCTTCAAAAATATCCTATCTCTTATAAGACTTATACAGCACAGGGTGATATTATGATAAATCATAGAAAAAATATTTATTAAGTTTACTGTGAGTAAATTTTTTTAAACGCTTCAGTTTTAGGTAAATATGTTTCTGCCATTGTTCTTTTTTTTTATCTCGAATCTAGAATATAACTTCTCAGCTCTAACTTACTTTCGATTCCCAAAACAATCTAAAAAAAAACATATTACGTTTTTTTTCAAGACCCATCAAGTGAAGACATAGATAATAATATGCGCAACAAGAAGAAAGAAAGCAGAAGAATATTTAGAGGAATAAAAACGTCTATCTTCTCATATCCCTTTGTTGTCAGCATTCACATTCTGAATGAATTCATGTGCGCGGGCAGCATCATCAGCAGAGACCTTGTCGTCACAGCTGCATCATGCTTGCAAATGTGAGTTTCAACATATTAGTCAATTCATACAACAACATGTGATATATTTAAAAGCTGATTTGTAAATATTGAAACTGCATAACTGTCCACTTGTTCCTTGTAGAATAGTTGCATAGGTTTATCTAAGGCGGATGATAGTCCGAAATTTTATCCCTGAGAAGGTTATACTCGTTATTGATGACCACGATTAGCTTATTTTTAGTCTATAGCATAAATGCGGTGCAGTTCGGTATTTAAATCTCTAAAAGACCTGAAGATGGTTTAACACTTGGTAGTGTATAATATGTATTCTTTGGTGAAAAGATCTTTTTGCAAATAAACGCATTTTTTTTTCTAGCCATTATAATAACAGATTCTTCCGAGAAAATCCGAAAACTACCTACGTCAGAGTCGGCAGCGATTGGACAACTCGACGCGGCGAGCTAATACCAGTTCTAGAAATTTTTTTTCATCCTCAATATGATCCAAAAACATTACATCACAACATCGCTGTCATTCGCCTTCTAAGAAACCTTCATTTTCAGAGTCATAAAAAAACCAAAATTAGACGGATTTTGTTAGATCGCGGTGAAGGAAATTTGGCTACTAATACTGATGGAATCAAAATACTTGGATGGGGGTCGAAGATGGTGAGACAAATGTTTTTTTGATTTTTGGATAAAGAAACTGGTTTCGATAGTACGAGTAAAGAACCAAACATTACAATTTCTTATTATTTTATTGATGTAGGCAGCCTCCTTTCTAAGGAGAGGTTCTTTTCTAAGGAAATGTGGTAGGAATATAGCAGCAGGAGGTCCACCAAAACTAGATAATATTGAAATTGGTCTACAAGCAAAAAAAAATTGGTGACCGTTGCCTTGGACCTTACCCCGTTGTAGTCTTTCTTTAGCATTGCATCCTGATTACAAGCATCCATACTAATTACGTCAGTTATTATGTATATATATCTAAATATTTCATTTTCTAATAGGCCAATCAAATCGTAAACGAGTTTCAAAAGCTTGATTACGCAGTTCTTGACTTATATCATGTCGACGAATGCAGGGAGATCTACTCTAGGTAAGTGAATTTTATGCAAACAACTAAGTTCAAACTAAACGCACGGTATGCAATGTAAGCAAGTTATTCAAACCAACCTTATACGACGACTATCTTTGTTTTCGTTGGCCACCATCAACGAACCTACTTAAGAACAAAAAAGAGAATAATAAATAGAGAGAATAATAAAAAGAAACAATTTCTATATTCTGGATGCGAGAAGCCCAAAATCGATCTAACTGCCGTGCAATGGGAGAGGATGTCCAGCAGTGGACTGCGATAGGCTGATGATGAATTTGTATTAATAGTATTTTGTTGTTATATTCTACAAATGTTATGTTGGAGAACTCTATCATTATTTTTTATTGTACCTAAGAGGTTTAGTAAGAGCTATTTGTTAGAACTGTCATTAAGCTGTAGTAAGTTTTGGCGTGTGGTGGTGGCCATCCCCCTAATACCAGCCACCATAGTCCACCAAAGGAGGGTACCAGCTGCGCTAGAGTTGTAGAATCCCCATCTGGACGTCCATGCTTAGAACACCATACATCTGGTCGTGGATATCTAGGCTGCCCTGCGTATATGAGGAACAACTGCGCTCAACAAATCTACCTGCGGCAAGAGTAGGTATATCAAACGACCCCTCACCACTCGGCAATATAACGGCAAAATTTTCATTGTCACCACTTGCATAATTGGCACTCCACAACTTCTCTAGACAACGCGCCTGAGTTGCAGGCGTTCATGGGCGGCGGTAGTAGCTTTCCTATAGGTGACCAGTATGCTCGTTTGCCCCCTTTTCCATAAATAAGTGTAAAAGTAACCTAAATCTCTAACCTAATTTCAGGGGGTACGTTACTGAGAACAACTTCTGCGCAGGATTCCTCACGAAAGGAAGTGGTGCTTGTAATGTTAGTACTAGCAAATAATTTTTAACTAAATAGGCAATAGCACTAGTTGAATTAAATTAGCCTGTAGGTTAAATTAAACACAGTTTCAAATCTTAATTGATCATACAAAACCTTTGGTTTAACTTTCGGTGGCTAGACAAAGATGGTAAACTGAACTGGGACGACTCTAGTTTTTCTTTATACTTCTTTTTATGCTTGACCTCTCTGTTCGGCCTTTCTCTATTCTGCTTTTTGTCTGTCTATCCTGATATTTTTTCTTATTTTTGGTTGTGTTCATAATTATGATTTCCAAAATAATGTATCCAAAAGTAAAATTATAAATTGAAATTTATAACGTACGACTAAGTATAATAATTAAACAGTATATTATTTACCACTAATTTCAAGCGCTTGACTTTTAAATCTATTTTCAGAGAGACATCGGTGGTCCTGCCATCGTAAACAATTTATTAGTGGGAATAGTTAGTTTTGGCCCGCCTGTGTGTGGTGCACCAAACGCTCCTACGGTCTTCACCAGAGTTGGACACTACATCAAGTGGATAAAACGTATTATGTCAAGGGTAGGTATACGTGAAGATATGATCAAATCCAAAAGCTTGATCTTTTGAATGCTAACTTTCAGTTTTTTATTGGCAGAGTTTTATAGTATTAACAGAGCAAACGAGCAGACTGGTCACCTGATGGTAAGTGACTACCGTCGCCTATAGTTAACTGTAATTCAAGAATCACAAGTGCGAACCCGCCCTTTGAACTAGACCTTTGAACTTGACAGATAACTATGTTAACCGCGCTCTAATTATAAGCTAGGATATAAACAACTAGGGGTTTTATTGCTTATTTGCATTTATTTGAGATATTATTGTTACTAATGCGACATTTTATTTTTTAGCGTCAGATAGTATATGGTGTTCCCACAACAAGCACTCGATTTGATAAATTCCTCAAATATTACAATACTGAAACTCCGCGCACTTTTCCTCACATGCACCCAGTCAACATTGTTTTAACAACCTCTTCCCTCGAACCCATTATCGATGGTAGACGTCGGGCAGCTCATACAGAAGCCAACACAGTTCATCCAGAGACTGTCAATGATATAAATAACAGAAATGATCAAACGACATATGATGTTATAAAGCATGATTTATATCATAATTTTCGAAACATGCCTAAGTCAGGGGATATAGAAAACAATACTGAACATCCTGCCCATAAAATATAATTTGAAAAATCTGATTATCTCGTTAACTTTAATATCACTACAATACAGTCAAAAAAGTGGTTCAAATTAAGTCTCCAATTGGATACCGTTTATCACAATCACAGTACGATGAGTATAACTTTGAATAAACTCACTAGACAGAATCAATTATATTAATAGTCGAGCATTATTTTCTGAAGAAAAAATGAAATTCAAGAGTAACGTGGAGGAGCCATGCTTGGCGCAAATGAGCCGGCTCGACTGGAGGGATACAACGGCCTCACAGAGACCAGTGTTAATCAATTCTCTCGCTGCTTTTGTGCCGAGTGAGTGGCGTCACAAGAGACCAGAACTTACCTCTAATTCTGGGGGAAGGGGTTGTTATAAGGACACATTTGTGACTCTTAAGTATCAGGCGTTTGCTCGCTATAAAAAAATTGAACCTTGAAAAAGGCTGACATGAAAATATTAGAAGTATACATGGAAGACGAAAATTGCTAACAAGGAAGAAAGATAGAAGTAAATCGAATGCTTGATAATATATATTTATAATAAAAGAGTAGAAAAGTATCTGTACATTGAACTTTTTTTTACTTAATTTAACTCATAAAAACCCATAAATTCTGGAAATTTTGTCTGTCTGTATGTTACGCAATCACGCAAAAACTATTGAACGGATCGTAATGAAACTTTCCATAGTAATTTAGCATATTTAGAGTCAACATCTGCAATAGTTTTTATTCCCGGAAAACTCTGACCTCCCATGGGATGGGGGCCCGAAGTGTAATTTAAAATTTTATTTTTGTGTAAGAGTTTTGAAAATAAGTTAAGAGGTGCAAATTCATAAATAGAAAATCGTGTTTATATTAAATTTGTGATATTTTACTGGTTTTTGATGCATATTATTATCGGCTAATTTGGCAAAGTGTTCGTAACCATTGATAGTGTAGCGCTTAAGACGTTAAACTACTACTGAGATATGTGAATTCCAGTCGCACTTAGTCTTTGGTTTTTTTTTCTCTATTTTAATGTACTTTTGTTATATTCATGGCATTTTCAAATATATATTACTAAATTTTCTTGGTGTTACCACTACAAAGCTGACGTTTTGCGTGATTGTATCTATGAATGAGGCATGGCAGACATTTCTAAAGAGAGGCCCATGTCTAGTCCAGCAGTGGACTACTAAAGACTGTTGATGATGATGGTGATACATATATATTCTTACACACATAAACACACATAGGTTATTGCTGTAGAGATCGTATGTAAGATGATCTCGTTCCACAGATAAGGAGAGAGAGAGATTTAAATAAAAATTTAATTTTGCATAGCCCGTAGTTGTGAAATCATTGATTTCGTCGCCTCTCATGAAATCATAAAATTTGACGATTTCAAAACAGAATATAAAAAATTATTTTATTGGTAAATTGTTTTACGATATGAGGGTAATAATAAAACAAACACATAAGACGTTTATATATTAAGAGCTACATAACGGCTCTCTATAATAAGTTGAATTGTGTCCTCGGTGCAACAATTATAAGTTGGTTTATCTTTAAATACTAAAAAACTGTCCAGATGTTTTCTAATAAAAGCAATTTCATATTTGTCACATTATTCAGCATTTTTATTAATGTTCAAAGTCTGCTACAATTACGGCCAAACGAAGACAGTGACATAGCTAGTGCTGAGACAGCTATACGAGAGACATTAAATACTTTATTTACTGCTTTGAAGATCAGACACGTTCAAAACAAACCACGATTGAAAGAGTTTTCAACAATACATAACTTTTTCGTTTCAATCACACTAAAAGATTGCGACAACCTTCAAGAAATAGAATTGCTGTCGCGAGTTAATGACGTTGATAACGATACATATTTTACAACGCAAATAAACGAGGTTTTGGATGAGGACAGTGAAATATTAGCTAATAATACTTACGCAGAAGCGTATGTTGAAACATTTATCAAAACACTAAGATATTTAAAGGATAACTACAACTTACATAATAACCTAAGCAATTTAGAAATAAACCCCGAAATTTTACAACATTTAAGCAGTGATGAGTTGTTAGAAAATGCTACTAAAAACAGTTCTAACATAAAGTCTCTTGATAATAATATTCTCCAGTATAGGCGAATTTTGGGTAAGGTCAAATTAATCCGTATGGTGACGGATTAAGAATACAGAGTGTCACCACCCCTATTCATCCCGTGGGTGTCGTAAGAGCCGACTAAGGGAAAAACTACGCAGGACAACAGCACTGCAGAGAGAAGGAAAACTTGACACAAACCCTATACCAACCCGTCTGGCCAGCGTGGTATAGTAGGCCAAAACCTCCTTTCTAAGGAGAGGCTTATGTCCAGCAGTGGATTATTAAAGGCTGTTGATGATTGATGATGATGAAATTAAAATAATATATGCACAAAATATGTTTATTCCTCGTATACTTAGTTCATAGATGCCTTGTTTCTTGAAAAAGATAAAACATATTGCAGTAAGTTTAATTAAGAAGATAATCGATCAAATTGAAATATTTCAGATCAAGAGGGCCGTCGGGTGTATAAAGGCAAAAGCGTAAAAATCGAGAGGTTCCCTTTCATGGCTAGCATCCATTTCTTTAACATGTATCGTTGTGGAGGTTGTATAATATCAAGAAATTTAATTATCACGTCCTCATCATGTTTGCAACTATTGTAAGATATTTTTCCTATAGTTTTGAACCTAGAAGTCCTCTTTAAGTCATACTTTTATTCAATCACCTAAATATTCTGGTATGGATATGTGATGAGCAAACTGTAATGAAGAAAATTATGTATGGAAGCTTATGGATTTTAGCGTAGAGGACGACCAAAGAAAAGTAAGTTAAGTAAATCAGGATATGGCTAGAAAGGGAGTTGTCGTAAGCAGTGATCTGACCAGTGATAGAGGAGAATAGGAGAAGAAAATTGAGAAAAGTCCAAGAAGATGATGATGATGATGCATTGAATTGCAAATCAAAAAGTTTAGTGTCTGTTTCCTCTTTATATTCAACTAATTTTAATTTTCTTGTGTAAGACTAATCATCATCAGCCTATCGCAGTCTACTGCTGGGGCATAGGCCTCTCCCATTGCACGCCATTTAGATCGATTTTGGGAGACTAATATAACAAAAATAAAACGAGTGTGCTTTAGACCACACGACTGAAGTAAAACTTCTTGGCTATGAGAGAAATAAGGAAGGAAAATTTGTGCTAGCACCTCTCTCTTGCCCCTACAGTAATTTACGAAACGTAACTCTATCTCTTTCTATATTCACTAACTTATATCTCCCTCTCAACTTCCGTTCTCCTTGCCCGATCACACTTATTGCAACGCTCTCATCACGCATTCACCGGTTTACTCCCCAAGTCAAGCGTGCTTGAAGAAGTTTATGTATTCTTTCAAAATTGACTTTTTGGCAATTTGCTTCTCTCTCTTACTACCTGACCTCCATAATATTTAACTTACGTTCGGTGACATTAATAGACCTCATTAATAGAATCAGTAAAGCATTTTAAGTATTTCACTATTTTTTCCCAGGGTGAATAAAGGAGACTTTCTCCGTTCCACCCCAGACTTTCTATCGGTTCGAATCGGAAGCACGTATACTGGGAGTGGTGGTGAAAAATTCGGTGTCTATGGTATCCACTTCCATCCTTACTACAACCCAAGGACTTTAGAGAATAACATCGGCCTAGTAAGGCTTAGTCGACAGATCACATATTCCAGGAAAATAAAAAGAATAGAATTTGACAGAGTACCTACAGAAATTAATGACCGGATTATTGTTATTGGTTGGGGAGCAAAAGATGTAAGATTTATTTACTAGACTATATTTTAGTTTAACACTTATTTGATGTATGAAAGGAAATTGATTCACAAAATTTTATTTAATAAAAAAGTGCAGAATAATATAATAATTTTATTCTGCAAATCCGAAAGAGAGAAATCAATTCCTCTTGCATTATTGCTATCACGAAGATAGACTATAATTTAAAAAATAAAATTTAATAGTAATAGTAATCTTTATTGTAGATCATATATAGGTACATTATATAGATGATTCGAAGAGTCTCAAACAATCACTTCAACAGCTTTTACTAGTCCACTGCTGGACATATGCCTCTCCTTAGAAAGAAGGTTTTCGCCTACTATACCACGCTGGCTAGACGGGTTGGTATAGGGTTTGTATCAAGTTTTCCTAATGCAGTGCTGTTGTCCTGCGTAGTTTGCTTCCTTAGTCGCCTCTTACGACACCCACGGGATGAATAGGGGTGGTGACACTCTGTATTCTTAATCCGCCAGCACACGGACTTATTATATAGATGATATAGTTATCGGTATTTAGACCGGCTATGTCCCGCCCATTGGGCATACAATAGATAAAATCATAAAATTTGTTATGTCAATATGGATCACTTTGTAACAGAATTTTATAAACAGGCAATAATAATGTAAACATACAATAATAGGAGTAGAGAGTAGTAGGTATTTATTTTTATGATCTATATTTCAGGGGTCAAACGTTAAAAGTACAAAACTATCGTATTCAAAGTTGGATTATTACCCTCTACGCTATTGCAAAAAGGTTTATTCTAAGTAAGTGTACTTCCTGAGTCTTTTTAGCTTAACCAAACATTTTAAACTAATGTAAATTTTTGTACTTTTAGAAAATATGTGAAAAATTATTACTTTTGTGCTGGATTCGTACACAAAAAAGGAGGTGCATGCAATGTAAGTTAAAATACTTTTAAAGTTTATTTCTATCATACGTTTTATCATAAAATAACCTAAACTAAATTTGATTTCATTTTGTCTTCGTCACTCAACTCTCGTAAGAAATATCACAGATGTATTTTTTTATTCCATTATTATTTTCATAGTACGACATTGGTGGCCCAGGAATCGTCGATAGCAAAATAGCTGGAATCATCAATTTTGGACCTGCAACGTGTGGAAAACGTAACTCACCTACGGTGTTCACTAAAGTTGGATATTACACCGACTGGATCAGAGGCATTATGGGTCAGGTAACGTTTTTATATTTGAATCATTGATAGTTTGTGCCATCACTGTCGCACGGGCACAAACCAGTTAGATGATAAAGCAAACTTTTTTAGTACTTAGGTAATTAGGGTGGCAAACGAGCAGACGCTTCATGTAATAATAAGTAACTATCAACGTCTTTGGTCACATAGATGCTTCCAACATAAAAGTCAACAGTATATTGACGCCCTGTGGGTCCAGATAAGGGGAAGGCGATTTTTGAGCTGCACTCATTCGTTAAAAATTACTGAAAGAACCCCTTGAGACTGGTTTTCTGTGAGGCCCTGACATCGAGGTGGCCAAATCATGTGTGAAACGAATTTTGGAATTTACTATTAAACAAATATAGTTAGGCTCTTTCTGGTTTTCTCCACATCTATACAAATAAAAAAAATTGAAGTGTATGTTTGAAATGTCAAAATATTTTTTTTTCATGCTCACGCGGTAATTTTTTGATACCTAAAAAACCAGTTTAAACATTTTTTGACTGTCTGTCTGTCTGTATGCTCCGGAAAATCTTCGAAACGGCTGGATCGATTTTGATAATATTTTACTACCAGGTAGCTGTCTATATAAGGAGTGACTTGGGCAATTTTTTCTCTCAGAAAACCCTATAAAACCTTTAATACTAACTTTATTCTAGTCTTCAAAAAATTATTCTCTGTAATACTCATTTTAAAATAAGAATTATTAGAATTTAACTACCACTAGAATACAGACTTTATATAAAGCACTAAACTGTAATTTATCGTTCTAGCTTCCAAAATTAATGAGTCAAACAATTATTACAAATGACACAAGTATGATAAGCAGTATTCAAGCGTCAGTTGAATATTACGAAGACTTTGCTAGAACAGATGTACCAGTCGCCGCAACGAAAGCTTTACAACAACCAGCCAAAGACAATCACTTGGTCAGTTTATTTAACGACTTCAAAGATTTTGTTTCAATGATGTTTGTAAAAACGGCAAGATGATTTAAAACAAAGAAACGATAAAGACAAAATATATTTATGTAATGAGGAAAGGCAAAAAGAAATAAACAGAATACGCACACCAAATATAAGACATAATTTAAAATTACATTACTAAGTTTCATCTTAATTTTCTGTTTTTTTTTTCTGCCCTAACAATCCTTCGCCCTTTCTAAAACTTGTTGAGTTAGTAGTAATAATAATCTCACACATCTCAGACATGGTCGTCTGATTTCAAACTAGGCAGAGCCCGTACTATGGTAACTAGATTACTGATAAATATATTTCTAAATAAATACATCATCGTCGTCATCGACAGCCTTTACTAGTCCACTGCTGGACATAGGCCTCTCCTTAGAAAGGAGGTTTTGGCCTACTACACCACGCTGGCCAGACGGGTTGGTATAGGGTTTGTTTCAAGTTTTCCTTCTCTCTGCAGTGCTGTTGTCCTGCGTAGTTTGCTCCCTTAGTCGCCTTTTACGACACCCACGGGATGAATAGGGGTGGTGACACTCTGTATTCTTAATCCGTCACCACACGGACATATTAAGACAATAAATACATATTAAAGATAAATTATACCCAGACAAAATGATCACACACATCATCATCATCACATTTGTCCTGGTTGGAAATCGAACCTACACAGACTAGGATTAGCAAGATAACTTGGCAACTGTAAAAGAAACCAGAATGAAACTTTACAAGAAATTAAAAAAAGGCAAGTTTTCACCGTGGGAGAGCCATGCTCCGGCACGAATGGGCCGGCTCAAGCGGAGTGATACCACGGCCTCACAGAAAACCGGTGTTAAGCAATTCTTTCGGTACCTTTCACGAGTGAGTGAGGTTACCGGAGCCCAAATCCCCCCTTCCGCTGACTCGAGCGAACTCCAAGGGCGACAACGCACTTGTGACTTAGAAGTTATAGGTGTACATGGGCGGCGGTAGTTGCTTACCACCAGGTGACCCGTCTGCTCGTTTGCCACCTTAAACAATAAAAAGAACACAACGCAGACAGTCAAAATATGCTGATATTATATCTGTATTTTTTTATTTATAAGTGGAGATATAGAACCAGTTATCAAGGAATCTAAAGAAGATGAAAAAATGATACACCAATTGAACAGGTACAGAAAATTTTACAATGATAATCGTCCAACGGGTCGACTGATAGAGAATGCCTTAGGCATAAATTCGTAGGTAGTCGTCGCAGGTATTTGTGCATGAAGTTCTAAAAAATATATACGAGTATTTAAGTATAATAGTAAGTCATCCACCGAGCCTTTTCCCAAAAATGGGTCGGGGTCGCCTTAAACATACAACGTGGCTGAACTTCGACGATCAACTACCCGTAGCTATTGCCACAGATATTCGTATGGCAACTGGGATCGACGGCTTAACGTGCTCTCCGAGGCACAGAGAGGTCTCAACGTCTTACGAATAGTCACCTAGCCATAGACAGACCTGGCTCTGATTGCTCAACCCACCTCAATAGACTTGGTTACTACTTAGCCAGGAGCACCTCTAGGAAAGAATAAGAATGACAATTTAGAATACAGGAAGAAAAATAAGATGTTGAATCGTCAAAATCACAGTCGTTATTTGTTATTGAAATCTATCAAATTAGACAGTTACAAAGATAATTTCTTTGTAACTGTCTGTACAAATTACCAAATAATGTTATAGCCATTGGGTCTTACTCTCTCTCTCTCTCTCTTATGTCTGCCAAAGATGAAAATGAAAAAACTAAATCTATTAGAGGAATTGTATAGGGTGAAACTGCACAGATGGCCTATGTCCAGCAGTGGACTATTAAAGGCTGTTGATGTGTGTGATGATGTAAACTTAAAAAAAAATACGATGTTCCTTACACCCTGTATATTTATAAATATGGGTCCAGTGTGTACAATAAAGAATAATTGAAATACAATGCATTGTTTGTGTTCCCTAAAAAATAAATGAACAAATGAACATATTTTAACTGTAAAACTAATAGGTATACTCGTATACTTTGCTAACTTTGATTAATATTGTATTTTTGAAGAGTTTCTAAATTCGATTTAAGGGTATAGGCACATTGTATCAAGTTTGCCCCTAACATACATCACTAAAAAGTTTTAAGCAAAAAACTTGTAAATAATGTAAACAGTAAGATTAAAATTTATAAAAAAAAACATTTCAATATGAAAAGCTAAAAAACTTAATGTTATTAAAATAAGTTAGAGACAACCAATAATTACAATAATCACAATGAAACATACCATATGTTTCAATGGGCAGGACAATAATTGCTTAATTCTTATGCATTCGTAAATTACCGCTGATAAATGGACAATTGAAGTAATTATTATATAAATCCAATTTTACATTCCATAATTATGTACTTAATAGGAAGTTAATTTACATTCACCTTGCAAATTAGACTGCCATTCTGTACTTGGTGTTCGACTTGTAAGGAGATTAATCCTGCAATAAAGGTATTTAGTATTAAATTATAATTGTGAGATTTTTTTTGACATCTCACATACGATCGTCTGATTCAAAATTAGGCAAATCCTGTACTATGGTACTCAAACTGCTGATAACCATTTTTCTATGTATTTATATATGTACATACATACTGTAGAAAGATTATACCCTGAAACAGAACAAATTGTTCGTCCTGCTTGGGAAATAGAACCCACGACCTCTATCTTAGTCATCATCAATCATCAACAGCCTTTAACAGTCCGCTGCTGGACATAGGCCTCTCCTTAGAAAGGAGGTTTTGACCTACTATACCACGCTGGCCAGACGGGTTGGTATAGGGTTTGTGTCAAGTTTTCCTTCTCTCTGCAGTGCTGGTGTCCTGCGTATTTCTAACTTAGTAGTTAGGACCAATAACCACTAGATGAATGGGCCCTACAAAAATCATCAATCAAATTAATAAATAGACTCCAATCAGGGCTAAAGGTGAAGTCTCTCTCTTCCGTCAAAAATGGGTGGGTTTCGCACAAGATTCAGGTTCATACCTGATGTTAGTAAGTTTTCAAGAATCGACCATGGCTGCCTTTTGAAGAACAAGCTGCTATCTTTGCTGGGCTTTGTCTACCTGCAGTTCGGCCGTAGCCCGAGACGTCTCAGACAGGTATAAAACGGTATAGGATTGCAGATTTTATGAGGCTGTCCTTTTCCTGAAATGTTCGAAATAGTCTAAGAAATATTTTTAAATCATTGATTAGTGAATCTATTATTTAATTGAAATAATAAACGTGTTCTACTCCATACATTATTATTTAAGAGCTTAGAACTTAAGAATGATAAAATAGATCTTTTGAGAGAACTCAACGGAATCAAAAATTATTAATGATTGGGATTGCTGGAGTATTGAAAAATTAAGGACTGAAATATTTTTTTTTTGACAATTACAGAGCAAGGCCATCGTCATTTCGTCATACAATGGATGAACTGGAATTCAAGTCATTTAACGAGACGTATCGAAAAATAAGCTTTGCTTTAAGCGTCGGTATGATGTATCCTAACCCAAAAAATGAAAAACGTCGTTTGATTGTTATGAGTATGTAAAATTGTATTCACCATGTACATAGAGTTTTTAATATTATCCTTGAAACACCATTAATAACCATGAATATTGTTTTACAGTGGTCATAATCGGTAGTATCACGCCGGTAGGATTATTAGCTGTGATCGACATGTACAGATGCTATTTGGAGAAGGATTTCGTCAACATTGTGAGACACAGTACTGTACTTGGGCCATTTCTGTTAGCATTTTTTAAAGTAAGCTAGATTTGTTTTTTATTTCTACTTCATGAATTTTATGCCCCTATTTATTCATTTCATAAAAGACAAAATGCTTAAGCCTTAACGAAGTCTCAGTAAAATGGTAACTATTTTTTCCACAGGCGCTTTAGCGGGTATGTAATATGCGTTAGAGTAAACACTGAAAACCATCGCCTCAATTTATACAATTCTAAGAAATACTAACTACTTAAATTTCTAGTTCTTCCTTTTTATCTTATGCTCGTACTGAATGTCCTATATAATTTGTCTTGTAATATAACTTTAACATTCAATTACCTCCCCCAGATGGTCCTAATGCACCTGAAGAGGAACCAAGCTAAACAAATCATAGAAGCAATCACCAGCGACTATCTTCTTTTAAATCACCGCAATCAAAAATATAAGGACCTCGGCAAGGCTGCGATTAGAAACTCACAAATTTATTCCGAAAACGGTTGGATCCTGCTTGTTAGCTCTTGCGTCATGACGTATCCTATCATGGCTATAGTCCTCACAACATACAATTTCTTATTCAAAGCGGACCCTGTTAAGTACATGGTACATGACTTGCGTATCCCAAATTTGGAGCCAGCAGCGAGATTTAAGTCTCCGTTTTTTGAATTCTTTTTCGTCTATATGTGCTATTGTGTGGTATTATATATTGTAAGTTTTGTTGGCTACGACGGTCTATTTGGATTATCTATAAATCATGCCTGCTTAAAAATGAATTGTTTCTGTGCGGCATTAGAGGATGCTATGAGGAGTGATAGCAGGGAGGTTTATAGGAAGGTTGTATGTGTGATTCAAGACCAGTGCAAAATGTTTGAGTAAGGATTATTAAATTCCTTTTTTTTTATTCAAACATAGTGAAAGATACTCAAATACTAACGTATTTATATTTTAGATTCGTGAATTGGATACAAGATACGTTTAATATGTGGCTAGGTGTAATTTTCGTGGCTACTTTGGCGCAAATATGTACATCATTATACCACATTACTGAGGTAAGCATGAATAGAATCAAAGAGAAGTAATACACATGAAACCTACCAAACTATATGTTACTTTTTACTTCCCTTACATGCGTCTACGATAAAAGTATGCCTTTTGTGTGTTTTTGTTCTTCTTACTCCATCATCATCAATTGTCACATATTAAGAAAAGATGGTATTCCTTTTTTACTGTTTTGCACTATCCTCTTACCAATTTTAGGAGTGGTCTTCATGATTCTATCCCTTTTTAATTGTATAAGTACCTACATTGTATATATACTAATCTATTCGCGTTGAGAAAATAGTGAAGTACCGGTCAAACACTGGCCTTTGACCAATCAGGTTCCAAGAAATTATCGTTGCTTATGATAGGGTGCGGGGCTTGATCGATTCATCACTATTTTTCTTTCTCTTTTATTTAAAAAAAACAACTGTCGCACTAGGAATATATCCTGTGACGCGGGGGACTTTACAAGCGTATATGAAACGGACACTAAAAACACCCAGACTCAGAACAACAATTTGTGGATCACACAAAGCAGCGTAGTAGGAAGCGGCATGGTGACCGCTTAAACCTCTACGCCATCCGTACAGTCGATTTTCTTAACTTAAATGGACTATAGTGTTAATAATAATATTTTCACCAAAATATATACAACAGATACATACAGATTAAATGTAACTGTCGTGTCTACATTATATTTAGTAGAATTTGGGGGTAGATTGGAGCTTAAACTAGAGAAACCTTGTATTTCAGACATTGTTGATAATAAAATTGCCACTTTAATTTCAGGGTAACGGCTTTGATGTTATGTACCTGATATTTTTGGGAGGTGCTGTGGCACATATATATGTGCCTTGTCGATATGCTGCCAAATTAAAGGAGATGGTAAACCTCATTAATATACAGTCAGTAATAGCAGAGGCAGTGAAATAAATATGTTTACCGTGGGAGAACCATGCTTCGGCACGAATGGGCCGGCTCGACCGGAGTGATACCACGGCCTCACAGAAAACCGGTGTTAAGCAATTCTTTCGTTGCCTTTCACTGAGTGAGTGAGGAGCGAGAGGGACTCAAATGCTAGCCTGTTGGTCTAGTGGTTAGTGACCTTGACTGCTAAGCCAGAGGCCGTGGGTTCGATTCCCACCAAGGACAAATAATTGTGTGATGAGCACGGTCATTTATTCCTTGTCTGGGTGTTCTTTACCTATAATATGTATGTATTTATAAATATATAAGTCTGGTTACCACAGGTCAGGCTCTGCCTAGTTTGGGATCAGGCGGCCATGTGTGAAATGTATGAAAATGTTAATATTAAATATTATTAATTAATCATCATCTGCCTACCCTTTCCCAATTTTATTTGGCGTCGGCGCAGTATGTATGATTTTTCAATTCTACTCTGTCATGTCATCTCACTGTTTACTCCCTTTCTAGCCATATCCTCACTGACTCAGTCCATCCACCTCTTCTTCGGTCTGCCTCTTCTCTTGTACCCTTCAACTCTCATACCTAAAACTTTCTTCGCCACATTTTCCTCATCCCTCCGCATGACATGTCCATACCAAGATAACCTATTACTTCTTAACTTTTCATCCAGTGGCGCTACTTTCAGACTCCTTCGTATATACTCATTCCTATCCTTGTCCATCTGAGTCACACATATTAATTAATATAATATTAATATTAAAAAGTAGCTCACAATGACCGGATGGTTTCTGTTTTAGTCTGTGGAGACTGCAGATAGGATTTACAGTTGCGGATGGGAAAACGTTAACAATGAGGGGATGAGGAAACTGTTAATTATGATGATAGCTCGAGCACAGGTATTTGTAGTTTTGATAATAATCTAGTTATTTTCAAAGTGACCTAAGTATATACACAGACTAAAAAGAGTTGTGGCAATAGGGCTCGGCACAATTTTGTCGTGTGTGTCATTTTCATAAGCGATCTTCTTAGTAGGTGGATCTTTTCATATTTGGTTTCATTTCTTCTTTTTAGGTGCCAACTCAGATAATTGCTTTCAATATGGTCAACTTCGATATGGAACTCTTTGCATCGGTAAATATTGTTTTTTAAATATGATCTTAAAAGCTTAGACATTTGAAATAAATAATTCTTTGTTTTGCTAGAATTATTTAAACTATTCCGTATCTAAATCTTTGCGTTATGCAAGTATTGGGTGCCTTTTTTTTTCTTTTTTCTATGCGGAACTCCCCTCGGACACGACCCGCCGGTGGCTATGTCGGACTAGAACCGACTAAAAACCGCACGCCGTCTCGGCCACCAGTAGCCAGGGAACCAGGTGTACCCTATGGGGGAAATATTGGGTGCCTATTACAATAATACTAACAAAACATGTTATGTAAAAAATAAGACGTGACAAATCAATAAGTAATATAAAGACTAAGTAGACACTCTATTAGGAACCAGTGAATAAATGTGGAGCTGGGGTTTTATTGTTTAAAAAACATTAAGGTACGTTTTGTTCCAGGTCTTGCATACATCGTACTCCTTGTTTACTCTGATGAAATCTTAAGCACTGCTTTCATGATATCACTAGTATATTACTCAGCATATGTTGTAGCGTGTGCATTTTTAGCTCTAATTTAGGATTATTTAATCATAAATCTCATATAGGCAGATACTTGCTAATATTGCAGGTAACCAATCCATAAAATTTATTATAAAATATCAGGCAAAGCAAGGATCCCTTAGCTACAAATTGTTGAATACGGCGACATTAGGATTGATAAAGAAACATCGAGAAGATTTAAGAAGTATCATTAATTTTACTGTCTCAAGTGTTGTCTTTATTCTAAAATCACACTATTTTCAATATATATTTTTGACGTGACAACGTCTTATAATTCGATGGAGCCGGCTGCACGCACGAAAAAACCCCGTTTTCCTCATGGACCAACTATGTACGCACAACTAGTTGTGCCATCCCAGAATATGTTCTTAATGACACAACTATGCACAACTAAGCACAACTGATTTACTATAACCATTCCTTTTAGCACAACCACAGGAGGAAATAAATAAGATTATTACTAACCTCTTCAGATATTGATGATTATGTTGGCCACCTCTGTCATATCTTTATATGTTAACAAATGGAAAATTATAAATGCCATTTCATGTCATTTACTATCACTAATTGTTTAAAAATTATTGATATATTATTTTCGTGCATACGCTGGCGAATATCCTGACTGTAATGCATGTCTATGTCTACGCCAGAAGACGAAGAACTTATATTCATCGATAATAAAAGTGGAAAGAATGCTTTATACAGCGACTATCAGTACCATTTGGTTCGAAGGTACAAGAGTGGTGCGTCTATACTACGATGTTCTAAATATCGTAAAACTAATTGTCGAGGATGTATAACTATTCAGGTAAATTTGGATATTTATAAAAAAGTAAGTTTAGTTTAGGTTTTGTTCTTTAGTATATCTTTTAATAAAGTTTGTGTTATTGTTTTAGAACTCTAAAGTAATTCATTCTAAGCAGCATTCGTGCGTCGTTGATAAATCAAAAAATATTTATTTGAAAAAGAAAGCTGCGATAAAAGATGCAGTAAGAAATTCTGACAAACCTATTCCTCAACTATATAAAGACAGCATAGCAGATATTGTGGATATGCGACTAGATTTAATAGATTCTGTTCCTCCTTTTTCTAGTATGAAGACTAGTCTGTATAAGGCTAGGAATGAGTCTGTTGGAGCGAATAAAACAGTATTTACGCGTCTTCAAGAAATGGAAATTCCACTAAAGTTCAAATATTTCGTTTTGGCCGAATATACATGTGACAACACCCGTATTTATATTTTTTGTACTCAAGAATAAAGACTTAATATCTACGGTAAAGGAAGCATTTATTGATTCAACTTTTAAAAGTTGTCCTAAACCGTTAGGACAATTATTAAGTATTCATGGCGATTTGGGTAGCACTACAGAAAAAACAGTTGTTCGGCCACTCATTTTTGCGCTCATGTCTAACAAAAAGGAGAGTAGTTACGTCGCTTTACTTAGCATTATTAAAATTCGAGTCGGGTGGAATATAACGAAAATTCATTGCGATTACGAAATTGCATGTATCAACGCGGTTACAAAGATGTTCCCAGAGATAAAGATTGTAGGTTGCTACTAGCACTGGATGCGCAATGTATGGAAAAAGGCCAGACAGCTTGGGCATCATACAAAAGTAGAAAATAGAATAATAGGAATGTGTGCTGCTTTTCCTCTATTGCCAGTGGATGCTGTAGTTGCAGGCTGGGCCTATATTAAATCCGAATATGAAAATACCAACTTGAAAATTTCGTCAATTATATATACAGGTTTATGAAAAAGAGTAACTTTGTTCCCATAATGTCCGTGTTCGGAGAGCGTCACCGTACTAATAACGTTGTAGAGTCATGGCACTCTACCCTAAATAAACATCTAAACAAGAATACTGTGACTGTGTTAAGACTACTAAATGTTCTCATAATGCTAGAGAAATACAATGTTGTTGCAAAAGATCTATGTTCAAGACTCCGGAAAGATGAATATATTATTAAAGACGAATTTATTCACAACGTGCAACTTCAATACATTAATGGACTAATCACATGAGGGCATGCACTAGATAAGCTTAGATGAATGGAAATACAACTGTTTCCAATTGCGCTACCCAGCCATCTCACCTGGGAGTAGACCTCTTTTCGTTATCTATTTTTTAAATATCATTAACTTATGTATTTAGTATAATATATACCATATTAAATGCTTACCATAACGATGAATTTTTGTACACCGATTATAATTAGTTGTGTCTCTAGGAACTAATATTAATTGAAAGTTATTTAGTTGTGCCAATAGGAATCATTTAAAAACAAAAATCCTTATGACACAACTAGTTGTGCATACATAGTTGGTCCATGAGGAAACAGCGGAAAAAACATGACTCATGCGGCGTTACCTCGCTCTGGGGCGTTCCATTTAAGGCGTGAAGTGCAAGCGAGAGCGCGGAACGAGTGACAAAGAGGCACAATCGGCCTCCGCGTTCGGCAGCGTTCGACATCTGTCTCTCTCCTACTTGAGTGAGCGATGCGTCCGCGTGGACAGCTGCTACTCGTATACAATAATACATTTTTGAAAAATGCAACCATTCCATCAGTATTTTCTTATGACGTTGTCACGTTCAACTATCGTCAGTAAACCGACTTTACAGACAACCGATTTTTTTTTAAACAGACATCTTTTGCATTAGGAATATATCCTGTATCACGGGGGACTTTCATGAAACGGATACAAATAACACCCAGATTCGGAACAACAATTTGTAGATCACACAAAGTGTCGTCCCATGTGGGGGTCGGACCCACAACTCTCAGTGTAAACCACTACGCCATCCGTGCAGTCAAACTGCATTGCTATTGGCATAAATGGTTTTGTTTTTAGTTGTTCAGAGAACCATTCTAACGCTCAAGGAGTCGAGTATCCCATTTTGAGTAGTTTGAGTACCCATACACCTTATGGGTAATTTTGCCAAATTCTATAAAGAAATTACTTCATCAATCATCATCATCAATAGCCTATGATAGTCCACTGCTGGACATAGGCCTCTCCTCTGAAATTACTTGTTAATTTTAATTTTTTTTTTTTGAAGTGATGGCCATGACGGTAATGGACATGTTGTGGGCAACTTGCTTTCAATAAAATATCTAAATTTTAAGTGTTCACAATTCATATACTTTTAAAAGAGTAAATCAATTAAATTCGATAAATTAAACTAAGCTTAAACAATAAAACATAAAAGTTAAATGAATATTTGCGTTTTAATTTTCTCTAAACTATTGCCAAATATTGATTTAACCCAAGATGTGCAATAATCAATTTTATTGATAGCATAAAATAAATTTCGCAACTTTCTTCACCCAATATAAAGTTAATGATTTCACAACCAACTATGTTCGTATAATGAATACTGTTCCAGCTGTTTCTTATATCGCAAGACCGTAAATGTACCAATAAAAAATCATAATAAACTGACATGTTATTTAACCCTACCACCCTACTTATATTGACTTTTTTTATAACAGTCATGTTGATATTATGCGTGTTTTTATTACTAATTAGTTATGTAGAAAAAAAAACCTTTGGCAAATTCAAGATTCAGCATAGCAACTATTAAAATTTTAGAAGTACACTATGCAGAATGCATAACTATAGCCCACATGGTTCATGTTGACAAAAGTTATTCACTTATATAAGTAAAGTATCATGAAAACGTATGTTTTCAAAAATTTTATGATGAAACTATCTCGTGCAATATTTTACTATCATGTGTGTGTGATGTATATCCGTTAAGAGACGGATTAAAAATACAGTGTGCCACCACCCCTATTCATCCCAAGGGTATCTTAAAAGCCGACTAATGGAGCAAACTCTGCAGGACAGCAAAGAGAAGGAAAACTTGAAATAAACCGTGTATCGACCAAGGCCAAAACCTCCTTTCTAAGGAGAGGCCTATGTCCAGCACTGGACTATCAATGGCTGTTGATGATGATGATGAGTACGTGATGATTTCAGAAAAGAAAGATTATGATGCTTAAGGTCTATAAAAATAGAAGAGAGGGAGAACTAAAATAGAGCTGAGATTATGTAAAGACCATGGAAGAAGACCAAAGAAAGAGGCGCAAAAATAATGTGGCCATGTGGAAATACAGACGGTATTTCCAGATAATCAAAACGTAGTTCTAAAACGTTCGACAGTGGAGAATTATTTTTGATAGGCGTTTATCATCTTTATCGTCATTATTACTTAACATTAGGTGCTGCAAAAGCTGAAAGACAAATGCTTAGTTGATTTGTCAACAAAAACATGCTTGAATGTAAAAAGATTATATATCTAATGACTAGATGTTGATCTGTAGTAGTACAAAATTCTCTTTCAATATATCCGATAGTTTTATCACTACTTCAGGTTGTAGCTAATTTCAGGCTTAATGTTTTTTTTTTTGTTGACAAGTGATGTCACTTATGTTTTAATGCGAGTTATTCCTATCAACTTCTTAGAAATTGAGGATATTACCGTCATTTTTACGTTTAATTTTAATACGCATAAAACACATTTATTTCACAATATATGACAGAGCAATAAAACAAGGCATAAAATATATTTAAGTGTATTGGGAAACTGCTACATATGTATGTATAAGCACAGAAATATTAAATCAAAACTTATTTAAAAAGTTTTATAAAACCATTCCTAATTTATTAAATAAACCAGTTACGTTATGTTGTCCATCGAGTTTTCCATTTTATATATAGTTTTGTTGACCACCATTGCTGAAATTCAAAGTCTTGTAGAAGAGTCAACCGCAGATGATGGCATTATAAGAGTTGCTGAGACGATCATACGGCATGTTGTGAATCACATCTTTGCAGATCTCAATATTAGGGAAGTAAACTTGCAACCAAAACTACAGCAGTTTTTTGCAATACACAACTACTTTATGTCCATAACACTAACAGATTGCGATAACCTAAGGAAAATAGTTGAGCTGTCGAGAGTTTATAATATTGATAACAACACACAACATTTGATTGCAAAAGTAAATGAAGTTTTGGATAAAAGCGATAAAAGTAGCGAATCAAATACTAACGATGAATATGTAGAAAAATATATCGAAATATTTATCAGCAAACTTAAACATCTGAAAGACAAGTATGTCTCTAATAGCGTAGATATAATAGACGAAAATAAAGAAAATTATTTAAACAATAATAAGACAATAAATGTTACAAGATATAAGAAAAAGGAAACAAAAGTTGGAGAAATTCTTTACGATGATGATACTGGTGAATATTGGAGTACGTATTGTTAAAACAGGAGGACTTGATACCATGGGGCATTAAGTTCACCTATGTCGATTTATTTTAATTTTGTACTACATTATTTTACTGTGATCCAAAAACAGGATAATAAAAACAAATTCTCTTACACAGAGCCAAGCGGTCGCCGCCTCTTTAGAGGTTTCCGGACCCGAATCAAACACTTTCCTTTCGTAGCTAGTATTCAGTTCTTCAAGAAGTTCCAGTGTGCTGGGTCAATTATTAAAAGTGATCTTGTCATTACTTCGGCCTCATGTTTGCAGTTGTGAGATATTTTCGTACACTTTATTATGTAACTTAAAAAATAATTAAATGATACATAATTAGCCAAAATCATTAACACATTTTTTCAGATCTTGGAACAACCGCTTTTTCCGCGAAAATCCACCATTTGTTTCTGTTCAAATTGGCAGTGATTATTACGAGCATGGGGGTGAAAACATTGGTGTGCAGGAAATTTACTTTTATCCCACATATGATCCCAAAACATTAAACAATAATCTTGCTATCATAAGACTGTCGAGGCGAATAAATTTCCATAAGAAAAGCAGAAGGGTTAGAAAAATCGATATCGATAGGAACCCTTCTAAATGGAAACCAAACAAACGTTTTGACCTCGTAACTGTTATTGGTTGGGGAGCTAGGGACGTAAGTATGTTATTATGTTACACTTATGATACCTAACTTTTTTGACATTGGAATATAGAAATTATTATTCATTAATTAAACAGTAAAGCACCGAACTCACCGTCGGTTTTTGTACGTCAGTTAGTTTGTCGGATTGATTTTTGTGTAGAGCCGAAACATGTTTTGTCAATATGTGATTCCGATCTCTGTGACTTTAAACCAACAAAAAAATCATAAATTTTTATAGGAGTAAGCTTGTGAGAAGGCATTTTATTCCATAGCTTGATCGCAAGAAGTTTCTTGAAAAGCGTATTGTAAATGCCAGTCACCTAAGTGATGAGATGGCCATGGATAATTTGCGACGGATACTGCGGATGAATAAATTATATTCATTAATTTATTTACCAATATTTAATAATCAAAATTAATTTCCAGGGCAGCAATATCATATACAACGTTTTGAACAATAAGCTATCTTACGCTGAGCTGGACTATTATCCATTACATGACTGTCGAAAGCATTATTCCAGGTATAATCAAACTAGCTTTGTGGTAATTTATATGATAGGTAGGGGGCAAACAACTGATGGATCACTTGATATAAGTGACTACCGCCGTATTTCGCCGTTATGCAGGTGTCCATCACCTGCCCATCAAAAGTCACATATGTATTCAATGTTTGAACCCTGAGAGGGTTCAAACATTGAATACATATGTGACTTTTACCAGAATTAGGTGGAAAGTAAAGAAAGAATTGTTATTATGTTGCGTATTATGTAGCTATGGTGGGTATATTTAAAAAAAAAATGGGTTACTATGTAAAACAGTCTTATGAAAACAGCTTATTGGCAAGAACGTGTGAGTAAATAGCAACCGTGACGTACTAGGCTGATGCCAAAACGAATTAAAAATACCAAAAAAAATAAAAATAAATGAGGTTCCAAATGCAAGAATAATAATAATTTAAAAACGAAAACATTCAAAATGGTGAAATGGGGATGCAGTTTAGGGGTTGAAAACAGTTTTTTGCGATTTGCGGCGAAACGTGATCTCCTAGCGGAAAATGTACAATGCAAAAATTGTAGATATTAAAAAAATCTAAAACTTTCACTTATTAAAATCGGTCATTTTTTGACATAATTTCAAATTAACTGGCGAATTAATTAACAAAATGGCGAAAAAACGATTTTTCAATATTTAATTTTTTTCTTGTGTATGAATGATTTATTTACATGAAAATTTTCTATGTTCTTTTAGGTATCAAATAATCATGATATTTTTGCAGCTCAGAAGATGACTAGTTTTTAAATTATACTCATTTTTCGACAAAAATATCCTTATCTTCAACAAACAATTGTCTTGATTTTTTTTATGTTTCGGAGGTCTCTAAGTGGTGATTTAATCCTTCAAATGTCTACTTTAAAATGTTCTATGTGACTTGGTGGTTTAATTATCGTTAAAACCAATTAATTGATAATATTATTACATTGTTGGGTCTAATCTGCTACCTACCTTATTTTATCATTAGTCATCACTCCAGAAGTTTCCACTAAACAAAGAAAAGATTTATGTTGAACGTCATCTTATTTAACAAACTGTTGTATGACGAGTAAGGGAGAAAGAAAATAGAAATAGTGTACATCTTTTATTGCTTTATTAAGTCCAGAATACTTAATATCTAAACAAAAACTTTCAGAGCCTTCGTAACTAAAAGAAACTTTTGCGCTGGGTTCTTTTCTAAAGGCGGTGGAGCATGTAATGTGAGTAGAATTAGTAATCAATGTATACTAATATTATAAAGCTGAAGAGTTTGTTTGTTTGAACGCGCTAATCTCAGGAACTACTGGTCCGATATGAAAAATTCTTTCAATGTTAGATAGCCCATTTATCGAGGAAGGCTATAGGCTATATATCATCACGCTAAGACCAATAGGAGCGGAGCACCAATGAAGAATGTTTCAAAAACGGAGAAAATTTATTACTATTGAGAGACGCAGACGAAGTTGCGCGGGTCAGCTAGTGTTAAATATTTGTTATATCATGTTATTTCATTATCATGTCTTTATCCGTGTGGTGACGAATTAAGAATACGGAGTATTACCATACCTATTCATCCTGTGGGTGTCGTAAGAGCCGACTAAGGGAGCACACTATGCAGGACAACAGGATTGCATACCCACCCGTCTGACCAGCGTGGTATAGTAGGCTAAATCCTCATTTCTAAGGAGAGGCCTATGTACAGCAGTGGACTAGTAAAGGCTGTTGATGATGATGATGATGATGATGACAATTATTACCTGTTATTACCATTACGTAACAACAATAATAATAATCATTGAATGTAGGAGCTGTTGTATCAACTTTTTTGTAAACTTGTACATATTCTAAAAACACCAAAACAAATATAAGTATTGCTAAAGACTTAAAACAATAATTAATACAGTAATGATTTCAGATACGAAAAAAATTATTTCAAAAATTAATTCATTCATAATTTACATTATAGCGTGACGCTGGAGGACCAGCAGTTGTCAACGGCATATTATTGGGTGTAATTAGCTTTGGTTCTCCAATATGCGGATCGCCTGATTCACCTACCGTCTTTACCAAACTTGGGTTCTATGGTGATTGGATTGACGAAATCTTGGAAAAGGTAGCTATGTTTATGGTTAATATAAATACTTGGTATTATGAGAATACTCACACACCTCTTTATTTTTAGGAAGTGCCGTATACCTACAAAAGGACTACAATTCAACTAGTTCCTAGGCCATTTACCGTCATAGAAAAATTCACGACAGCAAAAAAAATAATGACCCCGTTGGTTACCACGCCAGAACTAACAGTTATTGATAATGTAGAGGCACTCAGAATACTACAAACAGATGGTTATGATAAATTTTCATCTTCAAGTTTTGATAGTAAAGAACCTTTCGAAAAAATCAAGAGAGAATTAAAAGAAATTACACACCAACCCTTTAACACAAACAAGAATCCAGAAGACATAAGTAGACAGACAGTCAAAGTAACCGCTATTATACCGATTATTGAATCTACAAAGAAAGGTGAAACGTACTCAGAGCTGGATGAAACTGAGGAAAATGAAAGCAATGATGCACCTATCGAAACAGTTACAGAAAGTGCTGAAAGGATAACAGTCTTAGGAAACCTTGAAGAAAAAGAAGACATTAAAAATAATCTTAATGCCTTAGTTCATAATTTAAATATAGACAAGCTTTTAAATGAAATGGAGAACAATGCAACAAAAACAGTTATATCAGAAAAGTACAATGTCTCAGAGAATTTTTTCAATACTATAAACCAAACGTCTTCTGTTAATTACTTATCTTTATCCAACGAAGATGAAGAGGGCTTAAATATACCTGTGGCATCTTTCCGCAATCCGGCGCTAAAACTTGTACCTAGGACTCGTGACTATGATGAAGTATCAGAATCGTTGTTGTTTGAGGTAGTATCGAAAGCTATCGAAGAAGAAATAAAACTACAAGTGAGAGAAAGGAAAAATTTAAAGGGATATTCCTCTTAGATTTCAGTTAACGCTATGTACAACTACAATATTCGTATAAAATTTAAATTATACTGTGAGCATCGGCCCAGTTATCAAAAAAAGTAAAATAATTCTGAATGCAATTCTGCATGTGTATCCTACTTTTGAAAGTTCAGAAGAGGTCATCATTTAATTTGATCACCTATGACAATGTATGGTGATACAATAAAACTTATTTAAAAAATAAACTTATTTAATCAAATGATCATTTTCTTTGGGAGGAAGAAGATCCTACATATAGCTTTAAAGCAATACCTATTAATGTTAAAGAATATTTTATAACGTTATTATAATAATTAAATATCTCACAGATCTCACACACTTCCGTCTGATTCCAAAATAGGCAGAGCCTACACGGTATGGTAACCAGACTACTGCAAACCAACAGGCCTGCCCCAGAATTTTACAATGTCAGTTACTAATTAGCACAGGTTTTACATTAAAATGAATGTTTCTAAATTTGTTTCTAGCGTATTATGTCTCTTCTCTTCCTAGTCGATCCCTCACTGCTGAGGATCGTGACTCCCTTTCATCATGTCGCTTGGTAGAGTGCGATACTTATTAGCATTTCAAGCTGTTGAGCGATCTGGTCTCACAATGTTCTGGGTCTTCTGCCTCTGGGTATTCTGTAAGATATAAAAAAACTCGCACGACCTCCAAACCCCTTCTAAAACATAGCTTATTCATGCAATGAAATATGTACCGTTGTCAACGTCATTAACTCGTATTAAAAGTTTTCCTGTTTTTGATTTTAATTAAATATATTGATGACATGTACCCCCAAGTCCCGTGTTGTGCAGGAATAAGTCTACCTTGGTCAAACTATCCAACTCTGCCAACATAATTTAGATCGAGAGGCCGATAGAAGAATTCGCCTGACCTTAGCGGCGCATGGAAAGCTACGTCATACCTACGAGTCACTGATACCGCAATTGTTAAAAGGCAAGGCTTTTAACCAGTGCATCGTACCCGTAATGAAATATGAAGCCGAAACGTTTATACTCAACGCTGGACTAATCCACAAATTCGCTCATAAAGTCGCTCAGCGTGCAATGCTTGGGGTTTGTCTAGCGAATAAAATACATAACGAGGTTATTCGAAGGAAAACTAGAGTAACTGACATCGCACAGATAATCAGCACGCTGAAATCCAGCTGGGCCGGTCATGTCTTCAGTCGCTGGAGCCGAAATATGCTAAAGTGGAGATTGCGATTAGTAAAACGTAGTATAGGACGCCCAGGCGGATAAATCGGATAGACGCGGACTGCCCAAGACAGCCAAAGTTGGTGCTTCTTGGGGGAGGCCTCCGTTCAGCAGTAGGTTGATGATGATGATGAGTGTTAATGACCTAATAATATTAAGCACATGGTGACGAACACATGAAACTAATGTTACATCTGACAGTGCAAACAGTTTCTTCGTAAAATCAAATATCATTGAACTACTAAATAATCTTACTCGTACAAAATCAAAAGAATAATATAATATTCTACCACATTCACACAACGCCATCTAGTCCCAAACTAAGCAGAGCTTGTGCCATGGGTACTTGACAACTGACAAATACATATATACGTTTTGTAAATACATACGAGTACATATATACATAGAAACATCCAGACCAAACAAACATTAAATGTTTATCCACATAAATGTTTGACTTGAGCGGGAATCGAACCCGCGACCTTTGGAATAGCAGTCCGTTACACAAACCACGCCATCCGGTCGTCGTTAGAATCTAGTTTTGTTCTTTATGAAATTTGATAATTATGACTAATGAACAAAAATCATGATCATAAACGAGGGTTTTTCAATTAATGAAACCAATAAAGTAATTTCAATTGTTATTTATAAACGAATCTATTTTAAAGGAATTTATATTTTGAAGTTTTATCTGGTTTCTAATGAAGTAAAAGGAAGTCAAGAAATTTACACAGTATTTCAATTATTTATTATTTACTGCTTCGTAAAATCTTACGAAATCTGATATTTTTATTACTTTGATATAAAATATTGCGTTATATATATGAAAACAATAAAACACATAACAAAATACATTTTAATATATTGGGGCAAGTACTACATCAATTGAAATATTTTATACAAAATCCAACTTTTATACGACAATTACATTTTAGTTTCATTTTAACATTACATTTATAAAATAATCCACTGTTGACATGCTATCAATCAAAACTTGCGCAGTAGGTTACATTTTCTTAAATATCGTTGTCAAAATTCATACTCTTGTGCCGTTGTCAACCGTTGAAGACAATAATATAATCAGCACAGAGGAAACAATACGAAATACTGTGAACAGTTTATTCCAAGTTTTTAAGGTACCTGGTGTAAGGAATAGACCTAAAATAAAACAATTATCTACAATACACAACTTCTTTGTTTCAATAACATTGACAGATTGCGACAATCTCGCGGAAATTGCTAGATTATCGAGAGTTAATGTCGTTGATAACAGCACACAAAATTTTATTGCTCAAATAAATGAAGTTCTTAACGCAGACGATAAAAGTAAAGAAGAAAATGATAACAACACTTATGTTGCTACGCACATACAAAAATTTATATACAAACTTAAACATCTGAAAGAATCATATTTGTCCAATAAAAATACTGTTGTTAATGCAAAAATTTTGCACAGGCTGACTGTAGTAAGTGATATAGAAGACAATATAAATTCAAGTAAATCGAATCGAGAATTAGAAGATGAGAAAATGTTTGATGAAGGCAATATTTGGCGTAAGTAAAAGTATCCGTATAGGTATTATAAATTAACTACCACACACGACCGGAGAGATTTTTCATAAATTTGTTTTTTCACTTTAATTTTATCCGTGTGGTGACGGATTAAGAATACAGAGTATCACCACCCCTATTCGTCCCGTGGGTGTCGTAAAAGCCGATGAAGGGCACAAACTCCGCAGGACAACAGCACTGCAAAGGGAAGGAAAACTTGAAACAAACCCTATACCGACCCGTCTGGGCAGCGTGGTATAGTAGGCCAAAACCTCCATTGTAAGAAGAGGCCTATGTCCAAAAGTGGACTGTTAGGGGCTGTTGATGATTACTTTTATCACTTTACATATAGAGTATATATATATATAGAGTACATTAAAATATCAGAAATCAGATTATTTGCTGTACAGAACAGGTGTAAATTATCAACCTATTTTATTACAGAGCCAAGTGGTCGCCGTATTTACCAGGGCAATCGAACGTCCATCAAAAAGTTTCCTTTCATGGCCAGCATCCATTTCTTCGAAAATTTCGCGTGTGCAGGGTCTATCATTAAAAATGATCTGATCATTACTTCTGCGTCATGTTTGCAACTGTAAGAAATGTCTATATAAACTATTCACTTTAAAGATACAGTGAAAGTATTAACAACTTTAAGAGATGGTTTTCCGTTGGTCAGTTTCGAGTTTTACTACAACTTGTAACGATAAAAATTGAGGGTATCTAAAATCTACACTTTCTAGAAGTTAACAAAATGATGACATAGATTAATTTTCACAAAACTTCTCCTTGTTTACAATTTCTAGATAGACAATTTCTAGACACCTATTAATTTAAAAAATATACAGAATAAATATAGAAAATAGGGAATGTGACTTATGTTATACTATATTACGTAAATGGATACTATAAACCATTCTCTCTACAAGTTCTTATTTCATATAAATTAGTTAAGGTCCATGGTGACGGATTTAGAGTACGGATTGTCACCACCCTCAATTATCCCGTGGGTGTCGTAAGAGCCGACTAAGCTAGCAAACTACGCTGGACAATAACACTGCAAAGAGAAGATGATAATGATGATGATGAGTTAACGTAGCTTTATTGATATGTTATTGTTATTGATTCTTCTTGCAATTTTAGTATGTACCTATGTCATCAGAATATACCTAGATTCCAATTTTTCAATATCATGTGTTAGCTTAATAATATATCTCACCTAAATATTTTCAGAGCGTGGAACAATCGGTTCTTCCGTGAGAACCCAGCGTTTCTCTCGGTGAGAATAGGATGTGAATATTATGATTTTTGTGGCGACAGAATTTCAGTGTTGGAGATATATTTCCATCCGCAGTATGAACCAAGGACGTTAAAACATAATATCGCAATCATGAGGCTGAAAAGAAAAATTAACTTCCGACGTAGTCATGGGAGAGTTAAAAAGATAGAAATTGACAAAAGTCCGTGGGGGTTACCTACTACTTGCAGCATCACAGTGGTTGGTTGGGGAGCTAAAGACGTAAGATATAATCTATTTTTTTACTTTACTCAGTGAGTGAGGTTACCGGCGCCTAAATCCCTCCTCCCGCTGACTCGAGCGGGAGGGACTCGAAGGGCAGCAACGCACTTGTGACTTTTGAGTTGCAGGTGTCCATGGGCGGAGATAGTTGCTTACCATCAGATGTCTCGTCTGCTCGTTTGCCCTTTACACCATAGAAAAAAAAAATTAACTATACAAACTGTGGAAATCAACAAGACTTCTCACAATTGATCTCATATTTTAGCACAGCAACATTATCTACGATGTATTTAGAAACAAACTGTCTTTTGCAAAGCTGGAAGTATATCTGTTAAAAGATTGTCAAGAGCATTATTCCAAGTATGTACACTTCTTATATTATAATTAACCAGCGTGTGTAGTGTAGTCTGTAGTGCCACCGCCCTTTTGTTGACTGTTGTAGTCACAGCTGTAACATTCTTTCCTATTTGATTATTATTAAATATGCTAATACTTTTGTTAATATGTTCTGTTTATTACTATAGACTAGACTTAGTTTCAAAACGAATAATTAAAAATGATTGCTACTTTGAACTCCAGTGTAAATTAGTAAATATTTTTGTTGAGCTTGTTTCTTTTTAATTTTTAGAGAATTTGTAACACAAAGAAACTTTTGCGCTGGATTCTACTCTAAAGGAGGCGGTGCTTGTAATGTGAGTAATCATGGTGCAGGTACTAACTAAGAGGAGGAGTCTAACAGTGTCGTTATAATTTTAAATTAATGAATGCATTCTTTCAATAGGATTATATAAAGAAAATTTATTTATAAATTCGATTGTGGTATGGTTTTATTTATTGAGTCGTCTGTTTGTTATACTGTCAGGCCTTAGGCCATTCACAGATTGTCATGAGATTTTGCACACATGGTTTATCTCGAAAAAAACACTGCTCCGAGGTGAAGTTAACAAGGCAGGGCATTGTGCATTTATTTTATCTATAAGTCTTTAATTTGGCATAGTTCAAATGATTTATTATTATTACTTAATCCTTGTCTTACAATATGACTTTAATACAAAATTTACTTTATATTTAAAACTGGAAACCTATAATTATATATACGAGTATTATCCAGACTTAAACTTACTGAAACTAACGAAAATGGTCAACAGTTTGTACCAAATTATGTTTCGACATGTTTATTAATTTCGATATTTTAAAAATATTGTATGTTTTAGTTAATGTTGTCTGTGCTTATACAGGTTTATCAAATTTGTTAATTTTTTATATATATCTATTTAACATGAATTACAGCGTGATGCGGGAGGACCAGGGATATGCGACAACACATTAATGGGTGTTATTAGTTTTGGATCACCGATTTGTGGTTACGCTGGTTCGCCAACAGTGTTTACCAAGCTCGGCTTTTATTGGGACTGGATCGAAAATATAATGGAACAGGTAACTTTCGATTTTCCTTTTAGTTTTTGTGGAATTATAATATTTTCAGCGCGCTGAAGTGAAAGTGAGCTGGTCATGTCTCTAGGCGGACTGATGGTCGTTGGAGCCGACATGTGCTAGAGTGGAGACCGCTATTAGTAAAACGTAGTGTAGGGCGCCCTGCAGGGATCGGGAGAGGGCCGATCCCGAACGTAGAGGACGTCGGCGCCGATATCAGCCGTCGACGGGGCCGCGGGCCGCCAGAGAGTCCGGACCTCTGATGGTAGATTGATTGCCGCGGTAGGGAAAGGAATGGCCGGCCTGATTGCATTAAGATGCGATCAGGCCGCCATGCCGCGATTGAAGGGGAGGTGTTCTCCCCTGGGATAGGGCCTGATTAGGCATGGTGCCAATTCGGGGAGGACCTGAAATAACATGGTCCGGGTCATCCCCAGAGTAGGACACCTAAGGCCCACCGTCGGGGTGGTTTTTAGTGGGATCACCACATACTCCTGGCTCCTGAGTCCCCGAGGAGCAGGAGATCCGAAGGGATTTTCCAACCTTGGACCAACCAACTTGAGGAAAATGGCTGGCAGTGGATGGATGCAGATTGCCTAAGACCGGGATAGTTGGCGTTCCTTAGGGAGGTCTTCGTTTAGCAGTGGATGGCAGTAGGCTGATGATGATACAATATTTTAGGCCGTAAAAGGACAAAACTTTTGTGAAAATTCTACAGCGTCAAGCAAAACTTTCTTGATTTTTGGGGCAAGCTTCTGTATATTTTTTGAGTACAAAGGTGTTTTTAGGAATTTATGCATATATCTGCAGCTTGTAATGTTGTTTTTCCTCAACGGATTTTGTCATAAAATTGAAATTACTCATTATTTTGAGACATTGCTTTATAAAATAATTTAAATTCTAATTCTGAATAATTTCTTTGCTTTTTGAAAAAAACAAACAGTTTGAAGTTATCTTGTGAGTGATCTGGTACAAAAGTGTACTCGTAGTACCTACTCATATTTGGCTTCAATTACGCTTAACACGATGCTTGATAGTTCGCGCTTGGATTTAGTGTTTCATGCTCACACATGACTCACATCACCCGCTAGCGCTTAAAATTAACAAGATGCTTACAGTTATGCATCAATGTTCAACCTTGTATTGAGTTGTTGCAGTTACGTTAGACTGACTGGTGCCTGTCTATAGTGTTAGCATCTGTAATTGTGATCACTCTTCGGACTTCAATCAACCTGACCAAATTTATTTAGTACTACACTTATCTGTTACAGTCTGTACGAATTAAAAAGAAATATTTTGTAAAACCAACTACAACACTAATTAAATATTTTGTTATTTAGGAGATTAAGTCTTATGGAAGCCTGACTACAACTCGATACCCGGGGAAAGTTTTTACCTTTCCAGTTAAGACTACTACCAAGGAAATGAAGATGTATCCACTCGGAGATGCTCCAATTAGTTCCGTGCTTGGTAAAGAAGATGCACTCAGGATAGCAGAACAACTGGATTTTAATGATTTCTTGTCTACCGTTTTTGAAAGTGAAGAGACTAATGCTTATATGGATACCACTGACACTAAAAGTAAAGTTAATGTAGAACGTCTTGCAAATATTGACAAAAAGCAGAATGAAGTGACAGATTCGTCTGTCAGCGATGAAGTTTCAGTTGAAACTGCAATAGAGCCACAAAAAGGTGTTACAGTTGTAGAAAATGCTAGTAACGATGATGGAACGAATGACGATGAAAGTAACAACGATAAAACGGATGTTAAAGATGAAAATGAGCAAATGAATAGTCCAAAAATCTTAGATAAAGATGTTATGGCTCTTATTGATGATTTAGATATAGATGAATTACTACGATCTATAATACCTTCACAAGCTACTTTAAAAAGTAGTGAATTAAAAGAAAAGGGTAGAACTCAGAAAGAAACCTCCTTAATAAAAAATGAGGCCGTTTCTAATAACGCCCAAAACAAAATAAAAATAAGTTCCAATCAAAAATCCTCTCGAGACTTAATTATTGACGAAAACGACGGAGGTGAACAAGATGGTCTGAGTATAGAAGCAGAGCCGTTCATTGCTTCCCCGATGAGAGATAGACGCAACAGCACTGAAACACATCAATCATCAGCTCAAAGCTTTTTGACCCTGGCTATTAAAGAAAAGAAAAAGAATAAAATGAAACGTTATTTACTTTGATGTAGCATTTTTTATTATTTAATGAAATAAAGTGAAATCATGAAACAATATCATTTATTAGGCAATTAGATTTTCTAAAAATTCTATTGTGTGCGTCAATAATTTTATGTGACACTTGACAATAGTTTTCTATTTGGATAAAACTTAAATTCACACAAAGGCATAAACATCTTTAAGCCTACAAAGGAATCACCAATTTTATGCAATATGGTAGTTGAAACGGGAAGTCTATATCTATTTCTATTATATTATTAATATGCAAAAGGTGCACTGTCTTATTTTTTCAAATGCGTGCACAGCTGAAATAACTCTTCCTGCTAAAGTAACTTTTGTATTGAGTTGTTGCAGTTACGTTAGACTGACTGGTGCCTGTCTATGGTGTTAGCATCTATAATTGTAATTACTCTTCGGAATTCAATCAACCTGACCAATAACTAACCAATTACTAATTATATTCGAAATTGCAATTGCAATTTCGCATATAATTAGTAATCCCTAAGAATATCGTAGATTTGAAGAATTAAATTTCAATCATTTCATTATTTCGAATTTTATTGGAAGGTACTTACCCTACAATTAACTTTATAATATTATAATTATATCGAGAAATCATACAAAAGTGTTACACCATCCTAGTATAGTTTTGTAAAAAAAAGTCACATCCAATTTAACTATTGAATTAATTTTAATTGAATGACATGAAAACAATGGTTTGGTATTCACTTTCATCATCAATATTAAGTTAATTAAGTTCTATCCATGAATACTTATAATATTGTGTCTGTGTCTAAGAATTAAATCTGTAAAGGTTCTGCCTATAATATACTTAGTCCTTGTTCATCATCACTATCATCTGTATTTTCATCAGAGAAAAATATTGAGTTTAAAATAGATCTTTGATTGAACGTAATTTCAGTTTCATTCAATGTCTTGTTCAGTTCTATTTCCTGTTTTGCACTTGTTAGGCTAATTCCTGGCAAAGTTGTTTCTCTTGCCATAAATTTGCTTAAATCTAAGTTATTGATGAAGCTATTAATACTTTCTTCTAAGATTTTGTCATCATCCCCTACCTTTGTTAATGTGTTATTTTTTTTACGGGATTCTGCAACCATTTCAAATGTAATTTCTTCAGTTTTGTTCTTCGTAACTGAACTTTTAAAAGAATCAGTCACTTTTGCAGAAGTCAGTGTTAGTGATACTGTAGCAGATTCAATAGGGTGTTCTTCAATTTCATCTTTTACTTTTGGATCTTCCAGAGAATCGATCGCCTCTAAAGAAGTATGTATTGGTTCATCTGCAATTTCTGTGGTTTGTTTTATTTCACCAGTTGGGTACATGTCTCTCACTGTCATCTGTTCTACTTTCAAATTCGAAGATTGTCCTTTGCTAAGTTCAATTCTGTTATCTGTGTCACTCATATCATAGTAAGCCTTGACTTCATCACTTTCAAATATGTTTGACAAAAAATCCTGGAAAATCTGTTCTTGTGGTATTCGGAGTGCATTTGTTCCAATAATATAATCAGGGCTAACTGTAGCCTCTCCAAGTGGAGCAATCTTTAACTTCTCAGTTGTAGATTTTAGAGTCAAAGTTGGGAACCGTCTAGGCTCAGTAACAGTGGAGCCAACATAACCGGAAAGAGGCTCCTAAAACAAAAACAAGACGCCTGACTTAAAAACGCACCTTTTATTTAATGTTGGGTAAAACTTCGTTGGGTAGCTTTTTAATATGAGCTTTAAATAATATACATTCTTGTTGTTTAAAACTGTTCACAAAGATATAGTGTCATTACTTAAAATGTCATAGCTCAAAGAGACGTGTGATTTTTTTTACTAATGGCAGCATGATATGCTCCTAAATTAAGCACGCAATGGATATCCTGATTTTAAATTAGTATTCTAATCTAAATTGTTCTTAACTTGTTTTTAAAAATCTAAAAATATTTTCGAAGAAAGGGCGACTTAAATTTTAATTTATATTGATTTTTAATTTGTAAATACGCTTTGCTGGCGGTGCTTGGCAATTGGTATACTTTGCATATAAACTAAAGAATATTAGAAGAAACAATGACCATTAAAAAACTATTTTCTACCATTTAACCATTTGTCAGGTCCTTTTCTAGCTAAAACACTGAAACGGTTCAAAGGGACGTCCGTGAAATATTGTTTTTATGACTTCAGTGTTCACACTGTCACCGTCAAGATAATAAGAACTTCAGTTTTATTGGTCTTGACGGCGACTCCGTCTTCATTGCGGATGAAGATTGTCTCTCTGATAGGTTAACTAACAAAAACACATAATACAACGATGTTACCTTTTCTACAATATCTTCAATCCAGTCTTTATAATATCCAAGTTTAGTGAAGACAGTTGGGACGTCAGGAGCTCCACAGACGGGTGATCCGAAGCTAATGACACCCATTAGTACACTATTATATAGCCCTGGACCTCCGGCGTCATGCTGTATGTGTGTATGACATAAAATATAAAGCCTGAATATATGTAGATTAAGTATGAAAATATAAAGATGAGTTCAGATCGATTACTGCATCGAATACTTTAGTATTATGCTTGTGAGCCAGAGTTCTGACTGATATTTTCTAAGGGTTGTTAGATTTCATAGCCGTGTTCTTAAAAGTTTCACCACGCGATAAAACACATAATATATTTTTAGAGAAAGGGGAATCCTTATAGAATCACTTCGTTGACCGCACTAACTCAACTTTAATAGATAGATAGGTATAGATAGTTCAACTCAATTGTGCGCGCGGCCCTATGTGTGCGTGCAGTGACGCAGCAGTCGTCGTCCGAGCAAGGCCAATACCACACGAATGAAAGTTGTATATTTACAAGCCCACGCACACATAGGGCCGCGCGCACAACTGAGTTGAACTATCTATACTCTTTCTTGCACACCATAAATAGGATACATGCGATGATACATACAGAAAAAAAAAACACTGATATAATGGGCGGCCCTATGGCAGCCTGCGATCTCTTCCAGGCAACCTTCTCAATAATTCTCAACTAAATCAAAAGCCATTAAATACTTTTCATTATATTACACTAGCGATGCGCCCCAGCTTCGCACGGGTGTAATTTAGATACTACTACTACTAATGTGGTTTCAGAAGTAATTAATTATGTATACTATTATTATGATAAGACTATACCACAGGACATCTTTATATGCAATATTTATAGGAGCGCGCCGCTCCTGTTGGCCGCTGCCACCCCGCATTTTTAAATCTCTAATATCTACTAAGATATTTACTTAAATCATATGCTCTATAAGGCATTGATCTACATCCAATTCACAACGTATCAAACGTATTTGGATAAGTAATAATACTGTATTGTTTAAAATAGTTACCCATTTTTTTGTAATAAGTATGTACAAAGATAAAAATGGTTACTGTGGGTTATTCTTAGGAGACAAAACAAAACAACAGCACTGCAAAAAGAAGAAAAACTTGAAAAAAAAAACCCTATACCAACCCGTCTGGCCAGCGTGGGATAGTAGGCCAAAACCACCTCTCTAAGGAGGTGCCTATGCCCAGCAGTGGACTATTAAAGGCTGTTGTTTCGATGTAGCACCATAAATATCTATATACATTCGTACATTAACATTATCTTGACTAAATTATTTTCTGAGTCGACTAAGTTTCTAATTTAGTTTTTAAGTAAGACTTGTTCATAGTTCAAAGTTTGCTATGCTGATTATAATTATTAGTAACTACATTACTTATTGTCATTAATAAGGTAAAGGAACTGAATGCGTCTGAATATATTTTCTATTCAGTGTTAGTACTTACGCTGCAAGCTCCACCACCTTTACTATAAAACCCAGCGCAAAAGTTGTAGTGATTCACGTACTCCCTAAAATATTAGAAGTTATTTGTAAACTTGTTAATAATAATAATATAGAGTTTGCCCCTTTTCTACCTAAGTTAAGAACCGCTATATCGAAATAATAAAACGTTTTTTATTTCGATATAGATATATATTAAATAATAAAATCTCTGTCAATGTGTTAAGTCTTAGATAAGTGTTTCCGTGAATTAGTGTTCGATCTCTGGTTGAAGTAAACGTAAAATTGTAATTTTTATTTTGAAAATAGAAACTAAAACAAAGTAAGTATATGTGACTTCATCTCGTCAATAGTTAGTCGAATAAATGCAAAGGCAATAACGTAAAACTCGGAATAATTAAAGTGTAGAAACAAAAGAAGTGCAGAAACTAAAAATTAAAAATTTAAAATGTGTCAAAATACATATCTTGAAAAAATTTGAACAACAAGGCGATGTCTAATTATAAATCACTGATTATATTAGTCTTGAATTTGTATTTACTAAAATCATAAAAAGTGTTAAGTAATTTTTCACTATTCAAAATATAAATCATACTTAGAATAATAGTTTTGACAGTCCTCCAAAGGGAAATAATCCAGTTCTGCATATGATAATTTGTTTCTGAAAACATCGTCAACGACGTTGGATGCCTGAAATATCAAGTATTTTAAAGGTTGTTTTTCATAAAGTGCTAGGGACTGATGCAATTATATTTTAAATGGAGCTAATCTAAATAGAATAGAATTACCTTTGAATTTTTTTTGAAGTGAAAACTTCTTTAGGCGTTTTTAAACAACAAACAAAAGAATGTATTTTTTGAGATGGGAAAAAATCATTGACCTCGCAACACTGTTACCGTTACCGACACCTCTGTATATAAGTATCTATGTAGATACTGTGTATGTAAATGTAAACGGGGCCAATATATGTGTACCCGCTTACACGAGAGTTGAGTCTGGGTTGAAAAATACGTACAACATAGACATATATTCATGTCGGAACTTTATATTCAAAAATCAAAACTTTTTAAATTGTCAAGTTTTCACTTCTATCAGCACTCCAGGAGTGCCACTTTTTTTTTAATATGACATCAGAATGCAAACGAGCAGACGGGTCACCTGTTGGTCAGTAACTACCTACACCTATGGAAACCTTTGCACAGTCTCAAGAGTCATAAGTGCGTCCCTGCCCTTTAATTACACCCACAGAAGCAGGGGGAGGAGGGGTTTGAGCTGCATTGACCTCACTAACTCGGTGAAAAGCAAAGAAATTATTGCTTGAAACCGGGTTTTTTGTAAGGCCGTAGCATCGCTCCAGTCGAGCCGAGCGAACAAAATGATTTGAAATTCTTAAAAGATTTTTAAAACTTACGTCCTTGGCTCCCCAGCCAACTACAGTGATTCTGCTATTGCCGGGCAGTGCCCATGAGTTTTTATCTATGTCTATCTTTTTAACCCTTCCATGACTAAATCTAAAGTTTATATTCCTCGTCAGTCTGATGATAGCGAGATTGTGCTTGAGGGTCCTCGGTTCGTATTGCGGATGGAAATAAATCTCCAGGATTGAGATGCTATCACCACAGAAATCATAATAGTCGCACCCGACTCTTATGGAAAGGAATGCTGGATTCTCTCGAAAAAACCGATTGTTCCATGCGCTAAAAATACGTTTACATTAGTAAATTGTGATTTAATCGTGATAGTAAATTAAACATTATCAAACTAAAACTCAGATTCATAAAATGATCATAAAATAATGGATACGAATGATACAGAAAAGAAGAAATCATCATCAACCTACCAAGATTACAACAAAATCACATCGTTAACTAAAGGTGAATTTGAATGCTTTAATAGTTAAAAATATCATAATCAAAGAAATCTCACATTTGCAGGCAAGACGAGGAGGTGATAACCAAATCTTTTTTAATGATAGATCCTGCGCACTGGAATTTATTGAAGAAGTGTATGCTTGCCATGAAAGGATACCGTTTAATGGACGTCCGGATACCTTTGTAAAGCCGTCGACTTTCAGCGTCTAAATAATACATGAATGTTTATTAAAAGGTTTTGTTTTGCACTAAAATTACACCTTTAGTGCTTTCGATGAAATTGCACTCCTTAGGGTTTCCTAATTTTTAAATACGAGAGGTATAATAATACTACGCTACGTGTCTAAACTCCCGCTTGTGGTCAATAAAGAGATGATTGCTTAATGTTAATTTATTCTTATATATTCAAGAATGTTTTGGGTTTTATTAAATTTGTATTACTATATAAAATAAAATAAATTTGTAGAACAAAGTATAGTGTTAATCGTATGTGTATTCTTTCTGCTGTGTTCTATGTACTTGTTACCTTTCTGACTATTCTATTGTGCCTTCTAAGTAAACTGTAATCTTTGACTCGTGTGTGTAGTGTGAATATTAAAACTATACCGGTGAAAGGATTGTTTGCTTTATTGCGACTTACCAACCATGAGTAACATTACACGCTAAAGACTGTGGTATGTTTCTGTTCCTTTGTATGTGGGAGGCGCCACAAAAGTGATGAAAGTGACAAATAAATAAATATTATATTACTTACGCCAAACATCATCATTAACAACATTTTCTTCATCCTCTGATTGCTGATTTGTTACAGAAGAATTAATATTGTTATGGTCCCTTGTAACATTTATCAATGTATTCATATCGTTGACTAAGTATTTCAATATATCTGACTTTATTACGGTATTCGTATAAGAAACGTAGGTGTCCTTCAACTGTTTAAGTTTATTAATAAACTTTTCTATGTATGTTTCTACATGAATATTATTTTCATCTTCATATGCTGCGGTATTGTTATCGCCCTCATTTAAAACTTCATTTATTTGTGCAATAAAATGTTGTGTGCCATTATCAATGTTATTGACGGTCGATAGTCGCGCTATTTTATTAAGATTGTCGCAATCTGACAATGTTATTGAAACAAAAAAGTTGTGTATCGTTGAAAACTGCTTAATTTTTGTTTTCTTCTTTATGTCTGCAAGCTTGAAAGCTGTGAATAAATCATTAACAGTATTCCGTATTACTGTTTCTGCGATTGCAATGTTATTATTCTCAATCATTGGTAGTTGTACGAGTGTTTGAATTTGTACAATGTTGTGGAACAAAATGTAAAATTCAATGATAACTTGAAGCACGAACATTAGGAAAATGGTTTTTTGTATCAAAATGAAGTTAAAATTAAATATTAACAGAATACTTGAATATTTCCTTTTATGTTTTGTAGAATTATTTTGAATGTTTCTAGTACTAGTTCAATAAATTGAAATGTAATTTATGAAGCAGTTTTATTACTATAACCAATGTGTTGTGTAAAATGAGAGTAATAAAATGTCCGACTTTAATTTTAAATAAACTATAACGATTTATTTATTATGTTATCCAACAAACTTATATTTTAAAGTGATATACTTGTACTTATAAATCGAGTATTTCACTTGAAATCGCTTGCGACTTTAAAGAGACTCGTAAATGAACTATGAAACTAGTTATCACTGATTGATTGATTCCACGAACTGATATTAT